TAATTTGCGCTTCTGAGTTACAATCTTGGTTTCGAAAGTTTTTAGGGCTGTTTCTGTGTTGATACGGTCGAAACTGTCCCATAATATAAGATCTACATTGACGAATAGATGAATAGATTACCAGATATAAAATATTGATATTTGTGACTTCTAGTTTTCGTCTAGTGGAGTAAATACCTTTACGGAAAATCGTAAAATTGGTCTTTCTAAAAATTTGGGAGATAGAAAAAAGTGTGGTGTTTGAGTTTTAGAAATTTGGGAATGACTTTATGGTCTCGGCAGTCTTTAAGGAATGTTGAACCACAAAGAAGTCGATTCTTACGTAACAGCAGATAGGTTCATTTAGAGCGTCGTGATGACGTGGTTTGGGTGGAGGTTGGCGTGGGGGTTGGCGTAGGGATTAGCGCGTGCATTGGCGCTGGGGTGGCGCGAACATTTCTGACGGCAGGATTTTGATTGTCGGGTGGAGCGAACGACATTTTCTTTATGAGAGGTCTCCATCTCGAAGGTAATCTTATGCCGTCATCTCTTCTATTGAGTTAATTTGGCCTTTTTTCAATTTCTATGGCTTCTTGGATAATTCTTGGTTTATAGAATCGGATGGGGGCTATGGTTCTGGCGTTTTCAAAATCAATTTTGTGGCCTGTATGAAGATGGTATTGACCTAGAGCTGAAATTGAATCGGAATTGCGAATAGAAACGGAATGTTCATAAATCCTATTTTGGATTCTACGATTTGTTTGGCCTATATAAGATCGGGTTATAAGATAAGGAATTTCATAAACCTCGTGTTGTTTATTTTAAATTTTATCTTTGATTGATGGAACAATAGATGAAAGTGTTTGGTGGGGGACAAATATTGTCCTTATTCCTCTTGATTTAAGAATTTTGTTGATTTTGTCAGTGACACCTTTGATGTAAGGAAGAAAAGCTTTCGTATGATGAGGTTCTGAGTCTTTGGATTGAGATTGAGTGGGAGATTGGTGTCTGTTAATGTTTCTATTGATGTAATTTTCGCGGTATCCATATTGATTGACGGCTTGTTTTAAACTAGAAAACTCAGAGCGGGTCTACTTGCATTATCGTAAAGTCGTATTGATCTTTATTTTCTCCCTTAAATAGGAAAATATTGACCGCAGGAAAAATTAGTAAAAAAAATAAATTATAGGAAATCGTATTTGCAACAATTTCAGTTGGTACCGTTTTTGTCGAAAAGTTGAAAATGGCGGAGAAATTGAGCAAAAACGGTTCTCATTAAAATTGAAGATGGTAAATAACGAAACGCTGAGTTATTATTGACCCCCCCCCTCCAAGTAAAGGTTAGAATAATCAAATTTGGGACAGTTCGTCGTGCAAGTTTAGACCTTTTTTCGTCTGACCGGACTGGACTAAAAAGCAAAATGCGAATTGTTATCCGAATTTCTATCATTCTGTGGCAAATAGACTTCTGTATAATGCTACATATTATACACAAAGTTCGACGAGCATAACAAAAACATTCTTACTTAAGTTTCTGCACTTGTGCACAATTAGCCTGTGTTGTAGGTATTGTCAATGGTCTTTTTTACATTCATATTCATATTTTTCATATCCATTTTCCACCTCGAACGCAATACAGTTTAGCAGCTCTATAATGTAAACAAATATCGTTCTATATTTTCTCCATTTTTCATATTCATACGAGTATCAATAGTACATACCTATATCTACTTACGGAATTTTATTTCCCAACATTTTCTAGCTGAATAAATTTATCGTCCTCTGAACTCGAAAATATTGCATTCTTGATCGATTGGGAATCCAATTGTACTAAACGGAATTTGGAATGTGTTGCGGTCGTTATATAAAACGATGTTACAATTTGGTAGGGGTGTATCTATATTTAACCCAAACGGCATAACTGATCCAGAAAAAAATTCCACGGGATCCAAATTGCCTGGAAATATTTTCAAAGATTTCAATTGAATTTGGTAAATGCTGATATCAAAATTTTGTTTCGGTGGTGACAATTTCGGTATATGGACACTTGTGGTATTTTCCCAGTTGTTAGTTTAAGATTTTTCAGGCTTTTTATCTTATCCCACTTTGTCTTACCATCTAATTCTTGGTTTTGCCTTTTTTCTATTTTTGTCTCTCTTTTTTTATTATCTTATCGTCTACCCATCTTAAATATGAGACGAGTATCTTTACGCTTTAATATATCGTGCAGTTTTAAGCTCTCAATATATTATGAGGCTATAATTCATGATTAGTAATTATTTCTCAAATACAATCTGCTATTTCTAATCATTTTTTTTTTCAGGTTTTAATTGTATGGTCTCTGCCACCATGAACACATTTCTGATTAGCACGTCCAATCGCATTAAATAACTCATCGTCTCTAACGGAGTATTGTATATTTTTTGTATTTTCTAATAATGGATTAATTACTGTTCTTCGTCCAACGAAACACACAACGTCGTATTGTTTGAGACGGCAATACTGTAAAGACATTTTCTGCTTTAGCTGATTCTGCCTCACATATAATCTGCTCATAATGCATCTGTTTATTTCTTATAATGAAATAAACACTTATCTTTATGTAATTTAGTAATTTCTCTCATTTAACTTCACTCTTCAAGCGTCTTGATCTCCGTTTTCGGTAACACTGTTTGAAACACTCTTATTTAACCTTACATACCCGCACGCTCAAAGTACAAACATAAAATGACTGACAAAATAATTTATCAGATCGAAACACCGCAAGAGAAAATGTATAAACGTGTTTAAACATGTTGGTGTCAACGCATTGTTTGGCACGCTTATATCAGTAGCTATATTTTTACAACTCAATACCATATAATTATGTTCTATATTTCCCATTTCTCAACATTAAAAATTTGGGGTTTCTACCAATTTATATCTACACAGGTTTTACAGCTTTGCGAGATTAAAGGCTTGTTGGAATCAGTTAGTACTTGATGCAAATTTAAATACCGTTCAAAATCATACAAGAAAATAATGCTAAAAACCAAATAAGAGAAACAGAAACAATTTTGGAAATAATAGTGACTAGGGCTTAACTAGTTTATGTTTGGTTGCCTATTGTAAATGTCGAAAGGAAGATGGCAAACAAGGAAGTTTTATTGGATTTATTGAATTAATAAAAAAAATGTAGTTCGGAAAATGTTTTATTCAGTATTACAAAAATTAGGCTTTTCATCAAGACGATATTGTACATCACATTGAAGTAATTTAAACTAATTTTAATATTTAACTGGCCATCCCTTGTTTTTAATAACTAGTTCACATCTTTCGGGCATGGAGTTTATTAATTTTTGCAGTTCCTCCATGGAAATACAGTGATGCCAAACGTGGATTAGAGATTCGATTAATTTCGTTTTATTTATGGGTTTGCTTTTGGAAATGATGTTTGATATTCTTTGCCACAAATTCTCGATGGGATTGAGGTCCGGGGATTGCGCTGGCCAGTCCATCCTATCAATTTCATTACTCTTTATCAAAGCTTTAACCAATTGTGCTCTATGGCAAGGACCATTATCATCCTGAAAAATAAATTATTCTTCGCCAAACAGGTCGTTTCCACTACGCAGAATCTTTTTCTGTAGTACCTCAATGTATTTGGTAGCATTCATCATCCCAGAGACAACCTGTAGGCAACCAACTCCTCGAGCATACATCCAACCCATATCATAACGGAGACTGGATGTTTAATTGTAGGAAGAACACGTTTTGGAGAAAATTCTTTACCAGGAAATGTTCTGATGTAGGCATTTCCAACATTATTATTAATATTGAAAGTGAATTCATCACTAAACAGTACACTCTGTCATTGCTCTGCTGTCCAGATTTGATGTGCCTTGGCCCATTTCAAACGGTGCAATCTTTACTTTTCTGAAAGCAGTGGTTTCTTCCGTGGCTTACATTTTTAAGTCCAAAACTAAGCAGTCTTTTTCTCACAGTGAAAGTGCATACGCTTACACCTGTAGATTCAAACCACAGCTTCGTCAATTGGACGGAATTAGGCTTCTGTCTGCCAGACTTGTTCTTCTTAATGCAGCGTCATCCCGAACAGAAGTTTTCTTTGGTCGGCCACTACGCGGTCTGTCGTTGATTTTTCCTTGTTCAGCATACTTCTTAATGACTCTAATTATTGTAGATTGATTACAGTTTACTGCGGATGCTATTTCGCGACTAGATTTGTCGTTTTTATTGTGAAAAATAATTTCAAAACGCTTTTCGTCCGATAATTTAGTTTGTTTGGTCTGGGATGACATTTTGAGCTTTTTATTAAAAATCAATGAGCGAAAAAAATGTGTTAGGGTAACTATATAGTCAAAATATGTGGCAAATTTGTCATTAATATTCAATTTAATAGTACTTTAACGACTTAATAATCACCTCATAATTTTCTCGGATTATGGGAAATCTCTTCAATCGGATTAGTTTAATCTTTTCTGTAGAATTTTGAGCTAGTAATTAAAAAAACATTAGTAAGTACACCGATAATGCTAATTACAGGAACAAACTTAAAATGAATTGCGAAAATATACAAAAAACTTTTGTTAAACCTCAAAAATTATAAAGCGCTTAGGATATGCAGGACTTTTCAACACCACTGTATATATTTTATACCGCATTAGAATTATTAAATGTGCTGTTGAATTAATAGTTATATTAACTTTATTATAATAAGATCAAATTAATTAAATTCAACAAAATCTCAAGAAATTCACGTGACAACAAAGTTAACATTTGCTGTATCGGCTGCACGGTGTTGATTATTTTTATTGAAAGACCTTGTGATATACTATATTTTTCGTTGTGTTTCCAGGCTCAGAATGAACAATTTGGGTGGTTTGCCTATACGTCACCATACTACGTACGATTGACAATGAGAGAAACAATTATTTTCTTTATTCAGTCGACAAACATTAAAATGAAAACTTCCTGTTATTAATTTAAAACATAATAACTGATTAGTTTTTTTCCTGTTTCAGGAAGTACTTTTACCTTTATATTCTTTGGCTATATTAATCGTCATCAAAATTACAATGCCAAATCCCAATCTACCAGCAATCGATACCCCTCGTGGAGAAGAAGAACTTTTACACCATTTTGGAAAAGTAGAATCTCATACCATAGCTGTAGTACCGAATACATCGGAAGTAGTGGTAAGTAATCGATATATTTTTTGATAGAAACAATGGTTTATCATACTCATTATTCCATAAAATTTAATCCTTAAAAAAATAAACATCAAAATACAATATTCAAATACAGACAGAAAGAGGTAGAAATAAATTAACAGACTTTTCCTTTTTGTGAATAGATATTTAGTTATATGTATTTCAAAGTTATAATGTTTTTAACAAAATGTGTGTCTTTAAAAAACCTTCGTTAAACATAGCTAAATATTTTTTTCTTTTTACAGTACTTTTTAGAACAAATAGACAACCTATGGAGCTCTATTAGTTACATGAATCTTTCAAAAATAAACTGGGTTCTTTATGCTAGTGAAAAAGATCTCATGTCTGAATATTGGCATAGACCGAAGTACATTCCAATAGCAGTCCTATTTGATAATCAAGATCCATTGGATGGTCCACTTAAGTAAGTTTTTAAACTAGTTCTATCAACATATTATAAACCAAAATCATTAGAAGAATTAATAATAGAATAGGATAAAATGGATATCAGTGTATTAATTATTATGTTTAATACCTATATAACATCCAACGGTGTGAAACATTTCTGACAGTAGGATTTTTATTGGCGGGTGGAGCGAACGATCTTTTCTTTATGAGAGGTCTCCATGTCGAAGGTATGCCGTCATCTCTTTTATTGAGTCAATTTGGCTTTTTTTTATTTCTATGGCTTCTCCGATAATTCTTGGTTTATAGAAGCGGATAGAGGCTATGGTTCTGGAGTTTTCAAAATCAATTTTGTGACCAGTATGAAGGTGGTATTGACCTAGGCTGAAGTTAAATCGGAATTGCGAACAGAAATGGAATGTTCGTAAATCTTATTTTGGATTCTACGATTTGTTTGGCATATAGAAGATCGGGGGCAGTCTGCACAAGAAATTTCATAAACTCCATGTTGTTCATTTGGAATTTTGTCGTTGATTGGTCGGACTAGAAGTAAAAGTTTTTGTTGGGGGATAAATATTGTCTTTATTTCTCTCGATTTAAGAATTTTATCCATTTTTTCAGTGACACCTTTGATGTAAGGAAGAAAAGCTTTCTTATGATGAGGGGATGAGTCTGTGGGTTGAGATTGAGTGGGAGATTGATGTCTGTGGATGCTCCTATTGATGTGGTTTTCGCTGTAACCTTTTTGGATAAGGGCTTATTTTAAACTATAGTGCTCAGCGGGTCTATTTGCATCATCGCAAAGGCGTATTAATATGGAGACAAGGGTATTAATGACTGAATTATGCAAGTAAGGATTGATATGGGTGGGTTTTCTATAAACAGGATGATAAAAACCCTGTAATTGGTTTTTCTTTAAGATAACGTCGATAAACGATAAAAATGAATCAATTTTTACCTCCATCGTGGTAGGATGTATACCATTCAAATGGGTTTGAAAAGACATGAAAGCATCCCTACCATGGGATCAAATGACGAATGTATCGTCAACATATCGTAGCCAAAATGTGGGCTTGAGCATTGATGTGGAGAGTGCCCCTTGTCTCTAAGTCTTCCATAAAGATATTAGCAATTACTGAAGATAGTGGGAAGGCCATTGGGGCACCGTTTATTTGTTTGAAGAATTGATTTTGGAAGATAAAATAAGTGTTCATGCAACGTTTAACCAGAGATTTTCATAATGTTTTGAGTTTCCTCTATAGGAATGTCTGTAAAGAGTGAAATCATATCGAAACTTACTAGAATGTCTGACGGTGAGATAGGGTATTGTTTAAGGAAGTTTGATAAAGTGAAAAGAATTTTTAATGAAGGGGATTAGCGTTAAGATTTCTGACAGTAGGATTTTGATTGGCGGGTGGAGCGGACGATATTTTCTAATTAAGTAAGCAAATATCCATAGCGATACAAAATTTGCACATTACACCTTACAAAAGTTATGCAGCATATTAAGTTGGAAGTAAGAGAAATAGCTTAATTTATGAACCATACAGATTAAAATACAAAACTGTTGACGTGATTCACCAACGGTATTACATTTATTGGAGGACGACCACCGACTAGATGGACGGATGATATCAAGCGCATCACCACAAACTGGATGCAAGAAGCTCAAAATAGAAATAGGTGGAAAATTTTACGGGAGGCTTACGTTCAGCATTGGACAAATATAGGCTAATTGATGATGATGATGATTACATTTATTACAGGTGTGAATACACCCATATTTGCGAAATTTTTGAAATCTTCGGTCAACTGTGGATCTTGAAGGAACCTCTCTATTCTAAAAAGCAATAACACTACTTTTTGAGTTGTGTGACCTCCAAAATATCAAGTTAAAATTTGCATCTTTTCTTCGACTGTATACATCTTGATATATTTACGAAATTATTATTTTCATACGTTACGGATTTACCTAACAACCTACATAGTGAACTGCATAAGCTGGGCTGAGAGTGAGACGTGATACTCGATGTTAGAACTCAGCTTGAGAAATGAACATTTTGGTTACTTTCGGTTGGCCTCGAACTAACTGCTAACCCAATGAACCACCTGTTCGACATTTATATGATTTAGACGACTGTTATTTATATTTATTTATTTATTGATATTTATCTTCAACTTTTTTAGATATGAGATCCGAACAAATCCTTCCATAATTGGAACACCACCAACTTCAATATTGTACAGTTCTCCGTTAGCCTGTCGAGATACTAACAACAAATGGTACAGTTATGCTAGAGTTATACCAGCAATGGAAGGTGGCGATAGTTGTCCTGTGAATCAGTATTATTTCTCGGGGTTTTTAGCCCTTCAGGCACTTATTGATTACACAAGGATAAAAGTAAGTAAAATATAAAACATATTTCAATTTTACAATACAATATGTAAAAATCTATTTGATATTATTTATTGGTAAATAATCTGAACGAATTGTATTATACGACATTCATGACATCAAACTTAAGTACATTTTCTTGTACATTTTATATAACTTTTTATCAATGCATTACTTTCAATGCTATAAGTCTCAATTTTGAAATATGTCAACAGCAATATCAACAAGATCATATCTGACATCAATATTGTGAAGTATAAGGGTATACAGGATTACAACACAACACCGACTTGAATATGTGTAATGTTTTATGGTCGGTGTGAAGTAATGGTCTATTATATTAGAGGTTGTGTTCAGAAATTCCTTTATTAATGGCTGATGATCATTAGAATGGCGGACTACGTGATCAGCCGGTGTAAGAGGCATCATTGTTGATTTAAAGATTTTATCGCGACCATTAGATGAAATTGAGTTGTGAACAGTTTCATTTGAAGACGATTTATGATTTTTTATGATCTTTGATGCTGAAAAACAATTCCGGTATCTAGTTTCGCTGGTTTTCCGATTTCCGTCGTGATCAAGTTCGCTTTAAGATGAATTTCGTGAAGGCTGTCTAACATTGGCTCTTGTGTGAAAAACATAAGCCCACAAACTATGATTATAATATATCCTAGTCATTGTCATATAGGCAATTCTATTGGCGTACATTTGTTACTGCATGATCTTGAATCTGTCATTAATGATCCCTGTCCATACATTTATTTTCTGACAGAACCATTGGCCCTTTTTTCTTTGAAGAAAATCTAACAGGAGAAAGTTATTTAACTTTTGAGAAATCAACTTATACCTGTGCTTGCTAACATGCATCCAAATGCCAATAATTAAAATTTACCTAGTGAAAATATCTGGTTTCAACAAGATGGAGCCCCTTCGCATTACGCACGTGAAGTACGTCAATTTTTAAATCATTGTTTTCCCAGGAGGTGGATCAGAAGACGAGGTTTTATAGAGTGGCTAGCAAGGTCGCCAGATCTAACACCTCTAGACTTTTTTCTGTGGGGTTACATAAAATTAAAAGTTTATGTCAATAGACCCCAAAACTTACAGGACTTAAAAGATAGAATTAGGCATGAAATGAGTCTAATTACTCCATAATTTATCCGCTATGTACTTGATGAATGTGTACGTAGATTCGCATATTGTCAAGAAACCGATGGATGGTATTTCGAACATTTAATTTAAAATAATTATTATTCATAAGTTTGTTACTTTAAAGTACATTATTATTTAAATCATTAGTTGTAATTTAGTTGAATTTAAATTAAATAAAAATTGTTTTTGTACCCTTAAAAAAATATTTTAGTTAAAAATGTAATGTCGTTAAATAGAGAAGTAAATTCTCCTTCAAATGAGGTGTCGCATTATACCAATTTCTATTTCTATTTCTATTTCTATTATTCTATTGATAATCTATCAATTCATATATTCTATGACGTAATCGTTAAAAAAATTAACGATTACGTCAATACACCCACACCGGAGACGTCATCCCTACTCCATGTACGTTTTAAGATGGGTATTTTATAACAAAAATCAACCCGTTTCAGGATTTCCCTCAAAACTCGACGGTTCTCGAAATAATGATAATATTTCATAATTTAGCCGTTTACTGTATACATTTAGCGTTTCACACTTTTCGTTAATTGTGTCGAAACTGGAACTATCTCAGTTGACTATTCAATCTCGTCGCCTTCGTTGAACACTTCAATATGGTGTTCGTTTTCACTCACGCCTAAGTCACTGTTGCCTAAACTAAAGTCTGACAGAACCTCAAAATCAGAGAGGTTTGCCACCAATTCTTCTAATTGTTTTTGCATTAAATATTTATTCATTTTCAGTTTTCTTTTCACATACACACTATATACGAAAAATGATTCAAACTGCGCTAAACCGCAGGGCTACAACCTAACGCAGCAGAGGCAGTTCAAATACTACAATTTCAACGTAACTGTTTACTCATATTTACGACGTTGTCAGCCGTAAACTACCGAAAAGTCTAGATAACTATCAGTTCCATAATGGACCAAGGGGGGTTGTTTATAGTCCACCATAAAGTTTTTATAAATGTAAGACTAAATGAATTAAATTATAAAAATGCTAGGCTATGGCATCTAATGGCCCAGTAGTATGCTGACAACTACTAATTACTTGAGCTTTTTAGGCTCAAGTATATTAATAAAGGTATTTAGAAAATCATATGTAATTCAATCTTGTGGATATTTTTTACCCACCCTTGCTCCTTATCTTATCCTTTTTTCTTATCCTCATTTTATGGCATATTTATGTCATCTCAATCTCATTTTATAGCATCTCAGTTTGTTTAATGGTTTCCCATCTTGTAATATATATTAAAAATGTTGCCAACAAATTTTATTATTTATAGTTTTACATTATTGGAAAGATTCCAAATTGCAGCCCTCTGCATTAATAAGATGTCCGGTAAACGCATTTCCTAAATATTATGGTTACTATTTTATACCTTTTTATGAGTATTATACTACTATATTTTACGTGGAATGTCAACGTATACTATTAAGATATAAATATATGGTCCAATTTGTATTAAGTTGGTACTAGGTTTTGTCAAAAACAATGCATAGGCAATGAGTTTAAAAGTAAAATGTACTTGAAATAGATACAAATTGTTATTACACTTATCAATTTAAAGTATGTGCTTTGAACGAATCTCGATAGACGACAATGCAGTACAGTATGCGCCAAACTGACAGCTATTTTCTTTCTTTTAAAGTATCATTGCAAGAAGTACGACCTATACTTTTTTTAAAGCATTATCAGTTCAACTACAAAAAAATATTGTCACCTACAAAACAATCTATAGGTTTTTTAGTTGTTATATACAAGAATACTTAACTACAAGATTACTTTTAACTACAAGATTACTTAACATAAAACAAACGACTTAACGAAAATAAAAAAATAGCACTACTGTTCGTTACTACTTATTGTCTAGTGATTTAAATTTGATCTTAGGCTTCATTGAACTTCATTCAACAACGGAATATTTCCGAATGTAAATACTTGTGTCGTTTTGTCTATGCATATACTTAAACAATACAGTTCAGTGCACAGTGTCCTTGTTTCTTATACTTTTTTTTTCGTCTTTTATGAAGGGAGTCCAAGTGTTCGAAACATACCTCGGTCCTGGAAGGTGGGCAGCCTCGGGTGGCCTTCCAGCCTCGGTTATGCAGGATTCCTCCAGCGTAGCCACGATGATGTCCGATACCACGCGCAGGGGTTCTTCGGATACCATCGACATCAATGCCAGAGACCTACCTGCTAAGAAAACACCCTCCTCAGTGGTTAATTGCCGGCCGGATCACCCCGATTGGGACGCAACATCGGCGCGGCATTCACCCGATCTCTCATACACGCACAAATCTAACGCATTCTAGCACTTTCTCACTACGACTTAATTCTTTTCTCCCTCTGTTCCTCCCTGTTTATGTTAAATCTTGCCCCTTCTCATTCTGCTCTATCTTCTTGCACGCTCCTAGGTACACTGCCTCCCTTCATGTCGTCTTTATTTTTGTTCCTTTGTCTCCAACGTTCTCCATACATATCTCTAAATTGCTCTCCACCGATTTGATGGTCTAAGCAACTCCTCTACCGGTTCCGTGAGTGATTTCACCCTACTTCCAAGCTCTCTCTCTCTCTCTCTCTCTCTCTAGCAGGCTCCTCTCACCTATCCATCTATCGCATACCCATATAGTCTTTGAGACAGTGTCCGATATTCCACAGTACAGACATTTATCATTTTCTGCCTTTTTAAATCTGTAAAGGTATGCCCTAAATTAACCATGCCCTGGGAGTATCTGCGCCAGGAAGTAATCCACACGCCGGTGCCCGCAGTCCACCCATCTTCTCAGATTAGGAATCAGCCACCGTCCACTGCGCCACCCTTCTCATCTTGTCCCATTCCTCTTGCCACACCATTATGGACCTCCCCCTTTTTTCTTTTTTAAACGTTCTGTTGCTATTTCTTCTTTCGTATATTCTTCCTTTTTCCTTCACCAACACGTGAATCGGAATACACCCGATGATAACTCCCAACAACTCGGTAGTTCTGTATGCACATGCCAGCCTCAATAGACTCTTTTTATCTGCTCGGTTGAGCTGCTTTCTGTACGCCTTTGTTAAAACTGTAGTACTCCAGACAGGCGCAGTGTAGATGAAGACCGATTGCACAACAGAATGAAGGGCCCTCCTCCTCTCAGTTTTAGGCCTTTCGATGTTGAGTAACGCGGCGAATCTTACCGTAGCTCTTTTTAAGTTACAGCCTTTACGTGTTCCCCCCCTTCCGTTTAGACTGAGTCACCCCTAAATACTTCACGCATTTCTTTGAAACCAGTCTCTTTACTCCACATTCGAATGTTATCCTATCCCTTTTCCTTGGTCCCTTGAGAACTATAGCTTTGGTCTTACCCGCAGCCAGTTCTAGGCCATTCATTTTCATCCATTCCTCGACTTAGTTGCAGGTACGTTGTTTGTTATACTAACACTGTGTGTCAAGTTGATATTCGTCGGTTGGTCTGTCCCACGTATTTTTGATCACAGGTTCCACAGGATATACTATAAACTCCTTTTATTGAGTTATTTTGTCTTTTGGGTTTCTTACTATGGATTTAACAGTTTTCAAGAAAATAGTTTGATAACCATGCGGTTTTCGAATATTTCCATACTGTTGGTATTGTTTTAGATGTAGTATTATTAATATTTTGATATCATGGTCCAATCAGAATGATTCGAAAGACAGATACATTCCGCTGTGTTGGTTGAGTGTTGGTAGATTGTAAGACAGTCGAAGGCTTCTTCTACCATTCGTTTTTCTGAGGGGTGATATTTAATGGCCACGTTTGTCCAGCGGATCGACGAGTTGTAGTGGATGAAAGGAAATGAATTTGAAGTATAGACAAGATAATATTGGGGTTAAAACCTGGTTTTATAGAGGTAGAGAGTAGTGGAAGCCAGGAGCCCGTCTGGACAGAGCCGCTAATTTCATAAAGTAGTTATATGGGAGTCATAAAGTAGTTCCTACCGACTAGATGAAGTATAGCATGTGGAGATCATCATCATCACAGTCATTAACATCTTAGTAGATGTGTTGTGATTCATAATTGGGCTTCAGCAGCTCGGACAGTTTGATTGATAATATTTCTCCACTGGTCGCGGTCATCAGTTATATGTATTGCCTCAGTATACTGTTTATTGAGAAGCTTTTTAGTAATGTCAACGTGGAGATAGATAGGTTGTATTCATATTTGAGATTTTAAAGATTGTACTAGATTGTGATTTTTGTTGTAAATTTCGTGAATTGTATAGCATAAGTGTACCTTTCGTTTGCTCTTATTAACTTATCTTCTACAGCAAATGATAAGTCCAGCTTTTAAATAAAATTTTTTAGTGTTTCGTGTTTAATTGGTCAGATATTAGGACACGTTTGCTATAAATTATACTCAATAGACGTGTATTCAATAATTTGAATTATACCAGTGTATTTGAGTTTGTATTTCTATACCAAATTTGATTATGTAATAGACATAATGTAATTTTAATAATTTTTTTTTAGATCGACACAAATGCAGACCTTAAAGTGCCTCAATTACTGTTAGAAATGTTTCCTAAGCCAGCGCATACCGGTAACTGGATGTTTCTCATCCGCATAATCATTCCTATTTATATGGTAATGGCTTTATCCCAATTCATAGCCTACCTTTTGATCCTCATAGTAGGTGAGAAAGAAAAGAAAATCAAAGAAGGAATGAAGATAATGGGATTGAAGGATTCAGTTTTTTGGTATGTATGCTTCTATTCAAACTTTGCTTTAAGTAGAAAGGACTATATTTTAATTAATTATATCGATATGGTACGACCGCCGATTTGGAAACCGAATTATTAAATAAACAATTTATTTTGTAATTTGTATTGATTTAAGTAGAGACTATAAAACTTTTGGAGGAAGAATGTTTAAATATACTGCATCAACTAGTTAACTAAGTATATGCAACTCTCCCGCAAGACTGTTGCGATCAATATTTATTTCAATAACCAAAAAGAAAGGGGTCAATAAATGCGCCCATTTTAGATTAATCTATATAATAAGCCATGGTCTTATAATTATCTTAAAAGTTATTGACAAATGAATATAAATAAAGTGCGAACAAAACTTAGCGATGAATAGTTCGCTATCCGTCAAAGGTTGGGGAACGGTGAAGCCCTCAGGCAGATCCAGAGAGAGTGTTTTATAGATTATGAAAAGATGTTTAACCAAGTAAAGTATCATGCACACAGATGAGAGAGACCTGCACAGAAGAAGACCTATTCTTAGCGAATGACAGGGCCGTCTATATGGCCAACCACTGGAAACACAAAATTTAAAGCTGTTGGTGTTCCGGACACGGAAAGTATGTAAGTATCGAGTAAAACATACCAAACTCATACCTAACATACCACTCACTAGACAAGGGTTGGACCAATGAGATATCACTTTTATTAAAAATCTGTATTAAAAACAGACAACCTCAGTCAAAATAGGCGAAAACCTGTCCAGTAGTGTCCCCTTAACAAGAGGAGTGCGCCAGGGTGGTGTTCTGTCATCTTTTCTCTTTAACCTTTCTCCAGAATTGTTTCATATCGCACTGGAAAACATCCAAGACGGCTTTAAATTTAATGTAAGTCTGAAAAACAACACAAGAAATGCAGATGATACTGTCATACTGGCGGACAACTCGGAAGGGCATACATGACTCATAGACGCAGTAGCAGAAGAAGGCGAATTCTTTGGTATTAAAATCAACACCAGTAAAACAAAAGCAATGATAGATAGAATCTTAATACCTTGGCTCATGATTAACCATAGGTATAGACCCGAAGGTTGAAATTCGAGCTCGAATTGAATACTCAATATCTGCATTCATTAAAATGAAACGCCTTTTGACTAATACATCTCTTTCACTGAATACTAGGTATCGATTCGTGAAAACATACATATATTATATTCTCGTATATGGGACAGAGGCATCGACAATGAACCTAAGTGCTATGAGAAGGTTGAACGCCATTAAGTAGTATTGCGTAAAATGAGTCATAACAAAGAACTTTTTAAAATTAATAAGAAGCGCAAAACCAGTTTTCTGGGACAATTGTACCGGGGAACATAATATGAGCTCTTGAGGTTAGTGATGGGGGGACAATTGAAGAAAGCAGAGGTTCAGTAGGAGATATTCACGATTAAAAAACATTAGAGAGTGGACGGGTCTCGATACTCAACCCTTATTGAGAACCGCACAGGATAGAGAAATATTTGTCAGAATTGTTGCCGACCTTCAGAACTGAAGAGCACAGTCTAAGAAGGAGCGCTGTAGGGGAACGGATGAGGCAGCTGTTTCAATGATTTAAAATCAAATATTTGTATAACTATATTCTCACCCTCCTACATTTAATAGATAAAAAATAGATCTCGAGTGACCAGCGACCAATAGGTCGCTAAATTGCGAATTAGTAATAGTGTAGTAAAATTGTAAGTACAATAATTAAAATAAGACTTCCGGTTGAAATATTTTTATTTTATGATTTACAGAAACACATAGTAGTGTGGGAATTTCCAACAAATCACCCTTTTGAATGATATTAAAATACATAAATACGCAAATATCGATATTAACTTTTCTTAAGAACTACTAAAAAAGTTTAGTTTTTTATCTGGCAACCCTGTAATTTGTCGGATCAGCATTTACATAAGATTGGCACAAAAACTGATTTCTTCTGTATTGATTGAATAATTAAAATATGATCCAGCACATGATGGAACGTTCTAAATTAAACTCAAAAGTGTAATTTAACCTTCCGATAGGCCTTCATTTCACGTGACATTTCACGTCAAATGTCACGTACTGCATAGAATGTCACGTCCTGCGTCGAATGTCACGTCATTTCACGTCAAATGTCACGTCTTGTGTCGAATATCATGTTCTGTTAGGCACTATACGTAAAAGAAGAAGAATTGACAGTTAATATTGATAGAAGAAGAATTAACAGTTAGCTTCTGTGTCACCACCTCTTTCATTTGACACCCCATACGTCAAAATCAGGCCAATAGCCATGAAGAAACATTATAGGGCCCATTTGGCAATGCCGCCAGCCGCCTATTCCCCGTTCCAACGAGCCCTCGTACGTCACGATTGGACCAATAGAAACGTAGATACAATATAATGCCCTTTTGGCATGCTCCGATGGCACATACTGCGTTTAACCTCATTTTTCATCCCCATTCCAACGAGCCCTCGTACGTCATCCTACGTTAAGGGGTTTGGCAGTTACGACCGGGGGTTGCGATTTTAGGGGTTGCGATTTAGGGGTTGCGCTCAGAACCGATTACTATATCTACTAATATAAAATAAATCAGTGCAAATTCTTGCCTATGCTGATGATATGAATATTGTTGGGAGAACGGAAAACGCTGTACGAGAGGTGTATGTAGCATTAAAAGAATCAGCTAGAAAAAGGGGTTTAATAATAGACGGCAAAAAACGAAGTATGCATATGCAAATAAACACGCAACCTCAAATCCTACATCCACTTGTCATCGAAGCAGTGGACGAATTTGTATACGGCCAACAGATGCTAGGTAAACACAATTTGATTATACTGTAACCACCTGTAACTAGAATCCGATTAAACGCGTCTAACTTGACCATGTTAGAAATTGACGCTGTTAGAATAGTTAATTTGTTCTCTTCAATTATCAAAGAAAAATCAATAAGAAAATCAACTACCTATATTTATAATGTGTGTATTACATTTGTAATTTTTATCAGTAAATAAATCAATTCGTAATTTGTTTTATACGACTTGATCTATTTTGAGACATTTTTCTAGTAATTTATTTAATAAAATTTTATTGTTTTAGGTTATCATGGTTTATAATATACGGAGTTTTTGTACTATTTTTGTCAGTCGTCTGTGTAGTGCTTTTATATAGTCTAAAAGTATTTATACATACAAATTTTCTACTGATATTTATTTTGATTGTACTCTACTGTTTTTCGATTATCATGTTTGGATTTATGATAACGCCATTTTTCGATAAATCGAGGGTAAGTAACTATATGTTGTTGATTTTAATATCTTCATTGTACTTAATAACTTTATTTGAAAAGTAAACCGACCTTAAACAGTGATCTAAACATTATCAAAATTTATGAAATATGCAACATTAGTGTGAAATCGTCTTGCGAAGTACTTGTACCCATTTATTAATTTTAAACTCTTAAATTTTTTTCTTATTTTCTGTATTTCCGAACAGCAAAGATTTAAGAATAATAAAAAAATGTGCTGGAAAAAAGACGCTAGGTATGAACTAACGAACAAGTCTAAAACAGCATTCCATAAGCAGATGCTAATGTGCTTCTGTGCTATTCGGAAGTACTATTCAGATAAAATGAACAAAAAGTCACCGAAATGATATAAATTATTCCGTTGCCTCTAACGATAAATGGAAAGATGTTAGAACAGGTACCTCATTTAAAGTGTTTTGGATGTTGATATACGCATGTTATTGATTATAATAAAGCATTCGATAAAGTACGACATAAACAATTAATAAATGTCCTGAAATCAAAGATTGACTACAACGACCTCAGGATCATATTAAATTTATACTATAAACAGCGAGAAAAAGTACGTGTTAACGAACAGCTGTCAGAAGAAATTGAAATTAGATATGGAGTGAGACAGAATTTTCAAGTCAGTGATAGTTTTATTGAATGAGGTATATTCATTTCAATTCACATCTCATTCTACAAAGAAAATTAAACCTTATAAGAAGTTATAGTCAATATTGCTTTAAGGAGTCAATACATGGACGTTCATCGTAATAGACAGCAAAAATGTGGAGTAAGAAGTTCTACAATGAATAATTCAAGAAAGAGAACCTTTATTAATGAATACAAGCAGAAAATAATGTTACGTTCGACATCTGTTGACAGACAAAAAATACCACCTTATCATTCCTCCCAGGTCTTGTTTGTTCTACCTCTCCTACTCTTTCCAACTTGCAAATCACCAATTCTTCATATTGGGTTGAAGACGCTGGGTTCAACGTCAAACCACGTTGACATTGAACATGTCCACAATATCGTAACCTATGCTCTTATTTTGGTATTAATTGGTAACACCACTAGATTTCCTCTAATATTCTTAATTTTATCCTTTTTTGTGCCTACACTCATCCATCTAAGCATTGTCATTTTCGGGAATTCGATGTTTCTCTTTCTTTTTATCTGCCCAACATTTAATTAAATACATCATAGCTGGTCGTAGGGCAGTTTTATAGAATTTTCTCTTTAGTTTTATAGAAATCTTTTTATTACACAACACACTACTAACTTCATTTTACATTATATAATACCGATCCTAGGTGCTTAAAGTTATTACTTTTTACAATCATTTTACCCTCTAAAGTTATCATTTTATTTGTAGTAACTCCATTTATAAATGAACGTTTCCAATTCTAGTTTTTGTCCTACTAAGTTTTAAACCTTTTTCTCCATTAGCTTGTCTCCACTGTTCCACTTTTGGATCTAAATCCCTTTCTGTATTTGCTACTAACACTAATCATCAATATTAAGCACCAATGTTGCCCTGTACTTGCGCTGTTACCTGGTCCAACGCTAATGAGAAATATTGAGTAAGCACCGAGCCCTGGTGGAATCCTACTTTCATATGAAATTTATCAGTCTTTTAGTGTTAAAATAATCGATGAAAACTTACATCCAACATTTGGCTGCTTTTTGACTAGAATTATATTCTGGTTTTTCCTCAAACTCCTATACTATATCCAATTTGGGATCATCATTTATTGCATTGGCATTTATTTGTTTATCTGTCTAACATGTACAAGCTCCTAGCACTGTTTTTCTAATTTTTACTAATTGTTCCTTGCATTATAGGTGGCAAATTTTCTAAAATTCAATAAATAGGTAACTTCCATATGTATCCATTGTAAATTTTTGTTAAATGAACCATTTTTTGCTCTACAATTGTCATCTAAAAATTTGCTAAGGCTAGGCGTTTTAAATTAAATTAAAGAAAATCGTTTACACTTTTTTATTTCATACCAGTAAAGAGGAATGCTGAAATGGGTTTTGCTTACTTTCCTTTTATTAAATCCTAAATAGAAAATAATATTGTGTTGTTATAAGTATCTTGCAACGAATTAAAAATAATAATAACTTTCTTTTTTTAATGTTTTAAATTTAAAAATATTTAATATTTCGGAAACAGTTGAAGATAGGTATAAAACATTTTATTTGCTATACATTTTAAATATTCTGAAGAATCCAAAAATTGTACAGTATACAGGATATTGTATTTATAAAAAAATTGGTATCGATCACTGTTACATGATACATCCTGTATAAAAAGATTTTATTGAAAAATGCACAACTAAAAATCTGAATCGGCATATCCGAGAGCTTTTTAGACACACCAATATTATTTGTAATCGAGATCATTCAATTTGGTTGATAAACACTGTATGTTTTTAAATGTATTTTTTGTTTTAGACTGCCGGAATATTGAGCAATTTTGTAGTAATAATAATGAGCATGTTTTATTTTGTACAAGTATTTTTAAAAGATTCAAACCCAATTGCTTTATGGTTTATGTCTCTAATAAGTCCATCGGGATTTGCTCTTGCTATCGACAATGTAAGTATAAACTATTTTTATTTATAGTATTGTACACAGAAAGTATGCGATTGTAATCAGCTTTAATTTCCATTATTATTAAGAATTTAAACATAGTAAACTTTATCTGACCGAAACTGTCAGATTCTACTTCGCAAGTTGGATATCTTCTAATTTACAGGTTGCCACACATCTGTATAAATGTTAAATGGTTTCTGATTCTCCGCATTCGAGTAAGGTAGACAGGTCACCGAAGTAGTTCTGTCTTGTCAGATTATTTAGAGTATATTTTATAGAGTATATTTAAGCTCTTCCATACGTTTTAGTAAATGTCCCACCACCAAGTGGGAAGGTCTCTGTGAGGTGACTGCATTTTGGTAGGTAGGTCAGTTTATTCTATGTTTGCTGTGCTTGACTGGGTCTCTAATGGAATAGAGCTGTGTAGAAAAGTTTTTCTCGATTTTAGTCTCCTTTTCGTATCGGTGAGATTCATTAGTTTCCATCTTCTTTTGATTTTGACTGCAGTAGTACGTTTATTACTCGGAGGGGCTATGCAGGTGAAATATTGAAGCTATTGGAGTTAATCTTAAGCATCCGGTAATTATTATCCATCCTAAAGTAAGGCCAGGGCTGAGGTTCTTAATACCGACAAATTTCTCCTTTCATTTACTTCCAGTAAGCTCATGTATGATGTTATGGACAGTTACTTTATTTTTAGTTTTTGTACTGTGCGCTTTGTATGTGAGCGTATGGCCCGGGTAACTGGGTATTTGAGCAACGCGCAACCCTGGTTTTTGTGGGCCTTTCTACTTCTTAGATGGAAAGCTGATACCTGGGCTTTGTTTGGGTTGGGCTTTAGGTGGCTTTCTTGATAGTATTTTGTAAATTTCGCGATGGTGGGCGATTGTTCTACGGTTCTGAAGTCCTTGTACCGTCAGATTATCAGTGTATAAGAAGCTTTTTGAATGTTGCGGTTTGGGGTTGGTCGTCGCTATACATGGTATAAAGTATTGGAGACAGGACGTTTCCTTGCGGAAGCCCATTATTTATTGTTATTAAAGGTTATACGTTTATTTTCTATTATTTATCAATTACATTTTTTTAACATATTCTTCTTCTTGTAGTACCGTCTGCTATCGGAGGTTGACTACCAGAACAGCAATCTTTACTTTGTTGGCTGCAGCTCTGAACAACTGTATTGAACTGCACCCATACGACTTCCTTAAATTACGCAACCAGAAAATCCTCCTACGTCTCACATTTCTCTTTCCCGAAATTTTTCCTTGGATTATGAGTCTAAGCAGAGAGTACTTTTCTCCTCTCATTATGTGGCCCAGATATTCCAGTTTTTTCGTTTGTATGGTTTTTTATAGCTTCGCATTCCTTCCCCCTTCTTCAGCAGAACATTTTGATTTGATACTCTTTCTGTCCATGGTATTTTCCACATTCTCCTCTAACACCACATCTCGAATGCCTCAATGTTTTTGATGTTTATCTTTTTCAGTGTCCAGGCTTCCATGCCGTAACGCAGAAGAGAGAAAACATAGCACCTTAACATTCTCGTTCGTAAGTTCATATTTATGTCCCGGCTGCATAGGAACTTTTTCAATTTGACGAACGATTGTCTCGCTATCTCTGTTCAAATCTTGATTTCTCTTGTCTGGTCATTAGTATCAGTGAAGCAAACCCCTAAATATTTGTAGGACATAACTCTTTCAACTGACTGATTATTTATGGTTAAATTCACATTGGTGTATAGCTTCTTTGTTACAATCATGAATTTAGCCTTTTTGATGTTCAGTTTTAGACCACACTTATTGGTATGAGTGTTTATGTTTTCCATCAAAAACTGTAAATTTGCTAGGTTATCTGCTACTATTAGCGTGTCATCAACGTATCGTATATTGTTAATTCATTTTCCGTTAATGTTCATACCAATGTTTTACTCTAGGAGCGCTTCCTGACATATTGTTTCGCTATATATATATATATATATATATATATATATATATATATATATATATATATATATATATATATACATATATATATATATTGAATAATAGTGGAGAAAGCACACAACCCTGATGCACACATCGACGAATCTCAATTTCTTCGGTTAACTCATTATCAACTTTGATTTTAGCTGTTTGTCCCCAGTACAACCTGGATATGATGTTAATGTCGCGACTGTCGATGTTTTTGCTTCTTAGGATTTCATACAGTTTTTGGTGTCTGACTTTATCGAAGGCCTTCTCAAAATCTATGAAACCTACGTAGAGGTCTTGGTTTACATCCAAACATCTTTGCATTAACACACTCAAACCAAACAAAGCTTCCCGTGTTCCCAGTCCACCTCTGAATCCAAACTGTGTGGCGCTTATGTTCTCTTCTAATTTATTAAATATTCTTTTGTGAATTATATTTAAAAATACTTTTAGTGTCTGGCTCATCAATGCTATAGTTCTGTAGTCTGAACACTCTCTGGCGTTATTCGTCTTCGGGATTGTGACAAAAGTAGAGGAGAGCCATTTCTTTGGTATAATGTCTGTTCTATAAATTGTGTTAAAGAGGTTCACCATTATTTCAAGTGCGTCGTCGTCTATAAGTTTCAACAATTCTACAGGAATTTCATCTGGTCCTGCAGATTTACCCCCTTTTGTGTTCCTTATAGCATATTCTACCTCGCTTTTTATGATTTCCGGCCCTGTTGTCGGATTATTTTACCTTTTTTGTCCTTTACGATGGATGCTTTTTTACCTGTTATTTCCTTGATCTTTTTATACATGTTAAAGCTAGCATACTTTCTATCATATTCTTCTATTTCCTTGCAGTTGTCCAGAACCTAGTTCTCTTTTAACATATATTCGTTATGAAAGGAATACAGGACACAAGAAACTTTTTCGGTCTTTTATTTTATTTATATTTTTTATTACACTATGTTGCCCTTGCTATAAACAATATCTTGCTTCATCGTAGCAGATTGCTTTTGTTATACTGTTTTAAAGCTGCATCAATTATCTTTCTTATTTTTCCTTTTACTCATTGATAATCATTCCTTAAGCTATCCTTTACACCAGACCTGTAAATACCTTACGCTTTGCATGTTCTGTATTTTTAGGTAATAAATGTAGATATTTTATTCTTTATTTTTTTTGTAGGCTATCGTTATGGATCTATCTGGAGAAGGAGTAAATATAAGTAATATCTGGTCAGGTCGCGGTGTTCCTTTTGGAGGTAGTCTAATAATGATGGCAGTCGATATTGTAGTTTATGGTTTATTAGCATATTATTTAGACAGTGTTATACCTAGTAAGTACCTAATATTTGGTATTTAATACACAATTGTTTATCATTAACGTAACAAATAATGTATTTTTGAAAGGTATTCATTTAATGTTGATTTTTTATTTCAGGTGAATATGGTATAAAACGTCCTCCATTATTTTGTTTTAAACTGTCATTCTGGTTTCCTAAAAAGACTCTTCAAAAGGTAAATAATAAGTGCAGGTGTATATACTTTACATTTAATAACATTTGTGCGTTGGAAATTATACATGTACATTATACAAAGCAAGAAATTTATAATACTTTTATTAGGTCCCATTGTGTCCCTAAAAAGGGTAAAACAACAGTTACTTTTATTGAATTATTTGATCAATCATACTTGCTTACTTATACTAAATCGACACACATCAATGCTGATTACCAGCTTTAGTTTAAAAAGGTATCAGAATTGGAAGAAAAAGAACTACCGATTTAATCACTCTGGCATAACGAAAATTTTTGTTATCTAATACCTTATCAACTGAACAAATAAGTGAAATACACAATTCATTGTCATTTTACAAGAACTCACCTTCTGGTCATTTTGGCTGTGTTAACAAAATGCACAGAACTTATAAATTTCAAAAAAGTAGGAGCCCAGAGGTATATGAATTAGGCCAAAACCAATACAAAACATATTGTTGTTCTGAATTAAAATTTATTTACCTTTATAAATTAAACGGATACGATTATTTGACACTATATAGTTTTTCCAATTAATATCTTGTAGTTTTATCAACAACAGTAATTATTATAATATAAACAAAAAGAACAAGAGATTCTGTACAAATTTGAATAAAATACATCCAAGACTTTACTTTCTGCAGACACTGTATTAAATATAACCTTAACCAAATTGGCACTAAATCACTTTCGAGTTTTCAGCAAAACAAGGTGTAAACACGTGTAGTCTAGTAATTAATACCAAAGCTATTGAGGTATTTTATCGTTTAACTAAAACACACCACAAAGTCCAAATTGAATTCCCGAAACACTTTTTTGTTACTTGTAATTAGCAAACGATTTGTCCTATTCACTGTCTGATATTTCACTATCAGAGTCGTCACTATCTGTCTATCTGGAGCTCATCTATAACTCGTTCGGTTTGAAAAGACTGAACGATTTTGTCTTCCGTATGTTTAATACAATTTTGCCATTGTTCTGCCTTTATCTGTTCTAGCGATTCTTTCCATAAACTAAGACGTCATCTGCATCCATATTTCCATGGTAATCACCTGTATTCTTTGTGGACGAAAAAATTAAACTAGCGTCAGTAATAAAACCCTTATCATTTCCAGTATGAAGGATAATGTAGCGTTTACCATTACTGGAACGACCAGAAGAATAACATTTCTTGGTGCCATCTTGCCAGGATGATTTTGACATATTTCCTTTAGCGAAAATCCAAGTTTCTTCTAAAAATACAACGTACCTCGGTTTGCCAGACGTTTTATTGTTCATGTATTTTCTTAAAAAACCGTTTTGAAAAAACGATAGAGAGTTCACACAATTTTTGTCTATATTTTGTCTTTTTTATATCGAAAACCTAAATGTTTCAGCACTCTCCACAAACTTGTTAAACTAATATCACACAGTTCCTTGTCTTTTATTTTTTGTAACACAGCACTAATTTTACATGTTCTTTGGCTTTATATATATATATATATATATATATATATATATATATATATATATATATATATATATATAATATTTTTAATTGCAAGTTTAATTGACTGGTGCAAATCTAAAGTTTTTGGATGTCGACGATTTTTCTTGCGTACTTTATTCATTTCATCCTCACTCATGTTATGAATTCTTCGGAATATCATTTTAGATATTGCAAGCACCGCATGTGCGTTTCTGAACTGCCGTAAGAGATGTCAATGGATCCATATTATTTTTTTCCAAATTGAAATAACTTCCGACTTTCAGAACTAAACACCGTTCTTCTGAAGATAACAGTCTACGTTTCGACTATATTTTATTTTCTTACAAATTACTCATTTTGCTTTAAAATACCGCTTCACTACACTACTTTAAAAAATAGGTACTTATATACAACTACTACACTCTAGTACACAACACAGACTGCATGGATTATAATTGCAAAAACCGTTCTCATGTTTTAACTAAGATTTTTGTTGATTATGTATTTTGCTAAATTATTAAATAACACCAATACAACCCACGACCATCAATAAATTTTTAACAATGAACATATGTGTAATATTTTGAGATTGAATTTGATCTACTTTGTCGATAAGAGTGTCGTTAACACAAAGATATTTTTAAATAGCATGGATGGAGAGAAGAAAGAGAATGAAAGGAGATTACAATTATTATAACACGTGGTACGCCTTATTTTTCAAATAATATGTTCTTGTAAAGGTATAACTTTGATGGCTGGGTAAACTTACATTATACGATACATATGAAGAAATTTAAAAACAATAGCATGTAATACACTTAATACATTTAACACTGTTTAAATAAATATTCCGTACTCGTACTATTGCAATAAAATATTAAAACCAATAAACGATAACTTGTTGAGCAGTGCTAATTGAAACTAATTGCAAAGCGGTCTTATTAGGTGGAAAATACTCTATATCGTGTCTACCTTTATTTTTTTATATACATAAATCTCGCCTTTTTTTGTTGAACAATCGATACGTAATGTAACAAAATACAATGTGCTATTTTTTAGGTTCCCCTTGCAAACGGAGAAAGTTCAGAACACTCATTAAATAATACCGACTATACCTTAGACGTTGAGCCGGTTCCCAGAGAAATGCGAGGGAGGGAAGCAATTAAAATTGTGGATCTTTATAAAACATTTCAGGTGATTTAACTTTTTTATTTTTTGGTAGTAATAGATTTATTTGATGATAAGAAAGTCGATTTTATATTATATAAACTATGTTTCAGCATTGTCAAAAACCTGAAATCAAGGCTGTGAACGGAATCAATCTCACCATATACGAAGGGCACATAACAGCTATTTTAGGTCATAACGGCGCAGGAAAAACTACTTTATTTAACATTTTAACTGGATTAACAGCTCCTTCTGCTGGCACTGCATATATTTTTGGACATGATGTCAGGTAATTAGTATATTATAATTATATAACGAATGAATTTACAAATATGATGAATGACGTTTTCTCTTTTTTCCAGCATTCGATATCTCACAGAAAGAATAAAATACAGTATATGCAGTAGATAGACACAGATAAATTGTTCAGTATTCATTGTGTAAATAAAGACATACATATTTCCTCTTTAATCACAATCACAACATATGTGGCTTCATTTAAAAGAAAAAGAGATTCGCAATATAACGGCACAGCAAGAGCCCATCGATTAATCAATATGGACACATGAACATCAGAAATGTTTCTAAAAAACCGCAATTCCAATTGTCCTGGGCTTTTCTTGATAGTTACTAATAGTTAAAATGCGATGTTGCCACAACAATTAACCTTTCTAAAATATTGTTTGTTCTCAGGGCCACCTATTCCGAAGTGCAAATTCGCGTTAACCTTGCGCAGCGACGTCACTCGCAGCTTAGTATTCACATTGCTCTTAATTGTATACATAAGCACTCGTAATTTAGTCATCCTAAATATGGATATTTTGCATATATATTTTACTGTCTTCATACATTTTAAATAAAAACGAATGTTTATAATGTTTTCTTAGTCAAATATATTTAATTTTTATGCGAATTAGAACAAATAAGGTATTAGTATAAAAATATAGCTACTTATTTAGGTACCTACATACTTCCACTTTTTATAAACTTTTAAGAAGGAACAAAATTTTTATATTATACATAATTGGTAAATATATAGTTAAGTTTAAATACTTAAAACAACCGTCACTTACACAAGTCAGATGCCAATTTTGAAAATAAATATTACGATCGCGTTAATATTCTTGCTAAATAACTATATATAAAGCAGTTTTAAAACAATTTGCGTTTAAAAATATAATACTATATACATTATGCAATAGTTTTTTCTATTTTTCTTTTATTAGTACGTGCTAAAATAATTTTTTTATTAAAATCTTTTATACGGAAGTACATACGCGATCGAAAAAATATTTTCTTAGCATCTTGAGGACAATCAATATTAACACTTGCAGATAACAGACTTGAAACATATTGTTTGCCAGTAAATATGGTATCTCCATTAAAGTTTTGAAAAATTTGCTCCAGTTTTTTCCAAATGAGCCATAAATTCATTAGAAGGTTTACATAGTCCACCTTCTGTCAAATGATTGGTCCAGGTGTAAGACGTCGAACTTGGGTTAGTTAAATTTGGTAACTTGCCTTTAAGCTTGCTACAAATAAATCCTCCTAAATGTTTAGTCCATCATATCTTAAATCATCGAGTTCTTCACAGAGGAACTATGTCATCTCCATCCGTGGGATTGGTGTCAATGATTGTTTTTTTTAAAGCAAGCTTTTCTACCATACTACCGCTCATAGTTAATGTAGGAGTACTATCGTCTTCTACATTACAGTCATCTGAAAAAAGCACCTTCGTTTTTTCCCATTAAATAAGAACGCAGTCGGTATTTAAAATCTAAAGAAGTTGGATGATCGTTCAAACCACCTTTTGCTCTTATGACTCCAAAAAAATTCTCCAAGGGATCTTGGTTTAAGCGTCTCGTCAAAAGGTAGTTCATATTATAGCGTTTGTCTACATCTTTAAGCAGCAACTGCAGAGCCTTATTTGATATAAGAATACCTACAATGTTTTGTAAAATGTTATAAAAGTGTTTTTTACTTTGATATACTGTGTTACGTTTTTGGAATGGCAAGCAATGATTTCTTGCCTTTAACGCGCATTGTTGAAATCATGTCAGACATTCTATTTAAAATATCATTTTGGGTTTCTAACTCCAAACCATATGCCCGGTTTCTGGTTCGAGTGTCGCTTACAGGAAACGCTACCATTAAATACGTCAAATCAACCGTTCACCTATAACAAGTTAAAACAAATTAGTAATTAATGTTTACCTTACAAATTTGTAACTCTTACTAGTTTAAAAAGATCTGACAATTGTGTCCAATTTGTGTCTTGATTGTCCTCTATTTCCACCCCCTAAATCACAAACCATAGCTACTACTTGGAAACCTAGTGAAAATTTATAAGTAAATATGAGTGCCTAAATATGGTATGCTGCTACTCACCTGCTTCTTCTACAAATTTAATAATCTCAGATAGGATAGAAGAAGTCATTTTTGTGTCATAATTGTAATAGACAGGCTGTTTCCACTGTTTAAATAAACCTGTCAGCATTACGGCTTGCACATATGCCAAATGGCTGTAATACTTGGTCTTCAGATTTATCGTAGACATACTCTTTTTTGATTTTCATTTCAATCAAATAATAAAGTACAAACTTTATCTTTCGTGCTAAAGCCTGGAATATTCCACAATTTTTAAAAGAGTTTTTTTAATGTACCAGGCTGTATTTTAATGTTTTTTCAACCAAGATTGCCAATGTAGATACTGCTGGATACGGAAAATGTCTTTTTTATCATGAGTCTGTAAGCTCGAGGTCCAGCTGAATATAATGATATGGCTTTTGAACTTTCGGATGTAGACCACAATATTCGTTTGTTATTTTTAATTTTTTTAATTTGATTTTTCGAAAAAAATATTTTCTACGGCCGAAATAGTGTTTTCCAATGCAGACACCTTTGCTGTTGCCGCATTTAGTTGTTGCTTTAGAATTGAAATTTCATTAATCAGTTCTTGATTTCCGTTTATTAGTGGTTCTGTTTGTATGCAAAAAATATTTTGTTTTTTAATATTTATTTATAATTATCGTAAATTAAATAATAATTTTACTTTGGTGCTTTATGACACGCTCTATAATTTAAAATTTTAAAGCAAAAATTTTAGATAAATTTACCTTTTCTCTGCAGTATTATTGTTAAAAACCATCACCCTGGATAAAACTTTGAGAGTTATCTTCAGTGCCTACTTCTTTTAATGTTAGCCCCCAGAGCCTTCAAGTTTTGCTACGGAAATTAAATAAGCAAATAAGTCAATGATTTCTAAGAAGTTCTATAGAAGCTTATATCTAGAAAAAAGTTACATTTAACTTACCTGCTTAATAATTCATCAACGGGTTGTTTTCTTTGCCTTTTTTTTAATGCGCCATCGTGGCTTGTGGTAACCTCAGGTTTCATCATAGGCAAATTCTTGTTGGGATAATTTTTCGGCCGATAATTTAGCAGTTAATGTTTAAGATTTACATAAAAGTCAGTCTCTGTAAAATGCTGTGAACAAATATAAGCCGTCTTTGGGTTAAATTTATCTTTCCTACCGGTGGCGTGCACCCACTGTTTAATTAGATTTTTCCTCTTTAGGGAAACGAAAAAACCTCGTGCCAGGGCAAGGATTTCGCTTGCTCTGGTTATCAGAGGAATAGCCAAATACTGCACAACGCATATCGTAAAAATTAAAAATATAATTGTGAGAAAACTCCGAAACTGATAACTTCACTCTTCGGTTGCTAGTTTCTAACTAATGCTGCTACCCAGCACTAGTCAATTGAATACTTAGCCGAGAACCGAAACCTCGAGTATAAAACCCTTTTAGAAGGAAATATTATACAACAAACAGACTACCCGAGTTTTTTAGAGTTTTTTACGTGAGGTGCACTCGGAAGCTTAGATTAAAATTGCGTTGTTCCGGTTTTAAGTCTCCTAATACTTTGACAAATTCCCAGAACCAAGCGGTCGGGATCACAATGGATTTTGATTCATTTATTATTGTATTATTAGGTTTTATTACATCATGTACTTTGTAAAGGACCGCTTAGGTATCATTTAAGAATAAATTTTTGAATGTTTTCACACGTTTTTGTGAGTACAACAAAAATGCTCAATGCAAATTACAGGTATCGCAAGAAACATTGTATTGTCTCTTACATATTTCTTCTCAAATTTAAGAAAAAGTAAAAAATTTCTATCTGAAATATAAAATTCGGTAGCGGTACATCGGTAGAAAAGCGGCGAAATCAGTAGGTTGGGAACACTGCTGCTACCTGCTACGCTGCAACTGACGTCACTCCCCTGGCCGAAGATCGAGCGACCGTGTGCAATATGTTACCTCTGTAGTTTATTATACCATGGTTTGTTCTACTCTGTAGGCTATTTTGTTATAAAACATGAACTAATTTTTGTATATTTTATTTATTACAAGACAAACTAATACATAATTATCTCTAAAAAGTAGTAAGACCAGTCTGTCCATTGTTAATGTTTGTCCTTCTCTTTTACCTCCCGGGCTTCTTCTTCTATTTGACATTACATCATGTTAGATTTACAACTTAACACAACATAACAAATATATACAGTTCAGGATGTATTCCAGCTTTTCTTAAAACCTGTTTCCCGTGTATTATCCGTTTTTCTATAGTAAATCTCTAAATGTTTTGTGCTTACATCTACTCTGTAAACGTATATTGGAAAATAATGCGGAATATTTTCTACATACACTACATTTTACATGAATTCTACAATATATTCATCCACAAATAGAGAACTCATAACCACCAATATTTTTAAATATTATTTATTACCAATATCTTTTAACATAGTTATTGCACATACTCCTCAGCGTCTTTATATGTATATCCTATAGTTAACTGTCTGACGAAGAAAATAAATTTTCTAAGTCTACGAATCCTCACCACTGATTAGTATATATTTTTGGTGTAAAAAAATTACAGATAAAAGAGGAATGTAACGATATAAAAAAACTCAGGGCTACAAAAAACAAGGTCAATATAGGGATTTTTGGATAATATTTAATAAGAAAATGGTCTAAGATATGTCAAATTAAAGAGGGGAGGTAAGAGATTATATTATGAACATTAAAACAAAACATGTGGAGCCAAAAGGATACTAAATTATATCTTTGGCATGATTGGGTGGATAAACAAAGTAAGGATGAGCAATGTGGTTATTTAGAATGTACCAAATATTCCTGATACACCATTAGAAATTTAACTGAGATGAAAATGAAATAAAATTGTGGTTTTTGAAAGAGCAGTCCAAAAAACTATGGAAGATAATCAGTCAGAAACATCAGAAAGAACGATAACAGATTAGAAAAGACATGATAATATCGGAAAACATTCGAGGACTAAGCTAGAAATGACTGGATATGTTGTAGAAAAAGGATGGGACTAGCGCATTTATTCTATCGTCAAGGGACGACGCTAGAAGGGTAGTAATAGTTGCATGATAGTAATGTCTCGCGAGAACTAAAAGAGATCGAACAAGAAGCTTTTCGCAATATAGTATGTTTATATATAAAATTGTAATAAAACAAAATTTATTTTAGAGATCCCAACGACATGGACGCAATTAGACGAATGACAGGCGTTTGTCCTCAACATGATATCTTATTCGATAATCTGTCACCACGAGAACACCTAGAATTTTTCGCGGCTGTAAAAGGAATCCACCCGTCGTTGATAGAATTTGAGGTTATGAAAACACTCCGTGATATCGATTTAACGGATAAAGGCGAATTCATCGAGTAAACATTTAAGTGGAGGACAAAAAAGAAAACTGTCTATTGGAATTGCTATTATAGGGGACCCTAAAGTGAGTATTTTTTGTTATTGCTACTTATTTACCAATAAAACTATTTAGCTCTTTAAAAGACATGTACGACTTAAGTGAGGAGATGGTCCGTTAAATTTTTATGGTTCTTGTGTTGTTCTACGTAATTACAAGAATACCGTGAAAGAAGTGGTATTTTCACTTAATATTATTAGATAAGCAGTCATAAAATCACATATCTAAAGTCTCAAATAGTTGTAGATTAGTGTGTTCGCTAGTTTAAGATAGGTTAGGGTTGTATCTTATCTTACCTTTGACAGTTTTTAAATACCCATTAAGTTACATGTAGTATTTTTCTATTGTTACGTGAAAATTTGAGCATTTGCAAATAGCCACTTAAAACGTTTAAATTAAATTTTAAATATTAGTTAAAAAGTTAAAATTGAGGCGACCCAAAGTCGATTATTTTAGATTTAACCGAAAGAGAACATACTGACTCACTTTTACTAAAAAAATTTGACATACCAATTCACCTTTGGTTCAATAACATGGAAAGAGTTCCCCTCAGTAGAGCTCAGTACCTGTGATACTGTAGGTGTCTGGGATAGGTGAACTTTCCATTGGCTGTGAGATCCTGGGTGTATAGGTTAAATATAATAATAATAAAATCATAGTTAAATGAATCGTGTATTCCTTTAAACTGGTTTCTTGTCAACTTAAATGCAGCATATATGTTTTTTAGATTGTTATATTGGATGAGCCAACAGCTGGTGTAGACCCTTATTCAAGAAGGCATATGTGGTCAGTTTTACAAAATAAGCGACATGGTAGGGTTATTTTACTGACAACGCATTTTATGGACGAAGCAGATATTCTAGGTAAGGATAAATTTTTGCTCAAAACACAATTTTCATTTTGCTCAAAACCTTCAGACGCTCAGATATAAAGACCTTATAGACCATCATACTTCGAATTTGTTGAACTCAATTATGAATAAAAGCTCAAAAAAGTCAATATGTCTCAATAATTAACCAGTGACAGATATTTGTTATCTAATTTTCAGCTGATAGGAAAGCAGTAGTGTCCAAAGGCAACATAAGGTGCTGCGGAAGTTCTTTGTTCTTAAAAAACAAGTTCGGAATCGGCTATCATCTGACGCTTGTGTTGGAGGGACATTCTAAGGAAAACGCAATCAACAAACTAGTAATAACGCACGTACCTAAAGCAGAAAAAGCTCGAAGGCATGGAAGAGAATTAAGCTTTATACTACCTCATAATGCCGTATCGAATTTTGCTTCTTTATTTTCAGCGATAGAACAGGAAATTAATAATAAAAGTAGCAAATTAGGTAAGTCATTTCGATGTTATATTTTGACAAATAAACTATTTAAATCTCAGGAATTTGTTTGTAAATTTATAAAACTTATTCTGTTTGATATTCAAAGGAAAATCAAATCATTTTTATTGCTACTGGTATTGAGTAATTTAATTTGATGTTTTAATTATTGATGCTTTTCGTAGCACACTCTATATTTCTGATGCCTTACTTTTAACAAAAAATAATTTATATATTGCACTAAAAATATTTTAAAAAAGTGATGCTAACAACAGTACACAAAGTTCTAGGCACAGCGAGATGCCTCACATGAGGCAAAAGTTGGCTAGCAAAAGGTTATTACGATATTAAGATTAGTAAATGCTTTCGTAGAAAAAAGCCCATCTTCAGTGTTTTGTTACCTGGAATAAGTATTTCCACGTAATTTAAAACAAACGTAAAGGTAAAATTTTGACTTAAGGTTGAAAATGCAATGTGGTTAAATATTCACTAGGTGCACATTAGTTAAGCACTAAATAGCTGGACAAAAATCCTTGAGATGGTACAAAATTTAGTATTTCTTACATTTTATTTAAAAATATGTTGTGATGTTTGAGTATTTCTCAGATAACCTCCATGGCAACGTAAGATTTCCACTAGGGGTTGCTGCTGACCCTCAAACGATGTCTGAATGGGTTCTAGATGGCAACTATCCAGATATACCTACCAGCAGACCAGGGGAATGCAACTGTGATAATGGATAAAATTCAAGATGAAAATAAAATTAAAGATCTAATAACAAACGGGCCTTATACAAAATTAACAAAGGATTCAACAAAGCCTTTGGAAAACAGAATATATAGAATTTTATTAAGTTTAAAGATTATTTACCAAATTATCGAAGAAGATTAATTACACCTCATTACTGTAAGACCCCTCATGTTTATGGAGTACCGAAAGTTCATAAAACGAATATATCACTTAAATCTATTTGTAGTACCATGAATTCTGCTTGTAGTGAACTGTCAAAATTTTTATTAAATATTATACAAGCATCTGCAAATAAAAATGTCACACTTATAAAGAATACACAACATTTTTTAAATAAATTATCGAATATTGAATTTAATTCAGATAATATTTTAGTAAGTTTTGATATCAATAGTTTATTTACAAATGTACTATTAGATAAGACTTTGAGTATAATCAAGACAAAATTAGAGAGTCATGGTACATTGGCAACTAGAACAAGGCTAAATATATTAGCTATAATGAAGTTATTGACATTATGTACTGATAATACCTATTTTCAACTAACTAATGAAATGACTATAAACAAAATTTTGGTCTAGCAATGGGCTCTAGTTTACCACGATTATTAGTCGATATATTTATGGAAGATTTTAAAACCAATATTATTTCTAAACAAAATTTAAAACACAGTATGATATAAACGATAAAGAAGAGACAATAACATTTACCATAACATCAAAAGAATTGTATTTATAAAATACCTTTTGAATGTGATCAGTTTTATTTAGATGAAAACATCAAGGCCATTAAATGTTAGAATAAGTGAACATCAATCTTATATTAAAAATAGAGAATTTGAGAGATCTCAAATATGTAAATAAGGGAAAAGGAACATAGGGTTCAGTGGAACAATTCAAGCATAGTCCTAAAAGAAACAGATGGTGAAAAGAGAAAAATCAAAGAAGCGGCTCGAATTATGCTAAATGACCAATTGTGTTGCAAATTCGCAAATTCCTCCGCAGAATGCAGTAGGATCTGGTTACATATATTAAAAGAGGAAGTTTATAAAAGGAAAATACCACTATTAGTAAGTCAGTAACATATCGAGGATATATCAGTTATTTTTTTATATAACATACATATAAAATCAGAGTTTGATGTTTATTGATTTATTGAGAGTAAACTAAATGTAAGACCAAATACGTACCAGATCGGCAATCAGGACAGTATTACGAGGATTTTTTCCTGGTTTTTTCCTCATGTTTTACTATGGAACCCCTAACAGAAGAATTTTACTGCCATCATGGCATGTGGTTGTCGTTTTAAAAACAAATTACATGCTATGATTTTTTCTGACGGATATTCTCAAGTTAAAGTTCTTTTCATGTAATCAAATGAACTATCACTCGATATAGTCGTCCTAGGAACGCAACTCAGCAATATTATTCTAAAGTCGTCTACTTTAAAATGTACAATATATTTCTGAATTGTCAATATAAATGAGTCAGATAAAATTAAATTATTTAATGATAGAAATCAAAATGTTGACCAAAACGATTTTGTAAATTACATAATAGTTAACTGCATAAGGAATTTTTAAAAAACTAACACTTTTTTCATAGTTACACAACTTTTTATATATAACGTCCTACATCAATAAAAAATTTAAATTGTTTTAGGAATTTCTAGTTATGGTGTCTCGATGACGACATTGGAAGAAGTATTTCTTCATTTGGAAAGAGACGAAGAAACGGAGGAAGATACTGTAGACAATCTGTCGAAGAAAATAGTGAGGAACAGAGCACTAAGTAGGAGCCTTAGTCTACAAAATAAGAGTACGAGTTATCAGTCTTTACAAAATGAAAGCAACAATGCTCTCATTCAAGATGCCAAAGGTACATTATATTTTATGTATTTAAAGGTATCTTGTTCTATATAATCGTATAATATTATTTTTTCATCTTTTAAATGAGACACATTACGTGCTCTCCCGTTATTAATATTGGTACCTGACTGAGTTTATGTCAGTTCTGGGTTTTTAAGTCTTTTATATTATTTCGAGAAATTTATGACTTATCAGAATATAGTTTAGTGGTTTTTGCCTAGTGTTTCATCTTGGGGGAATTTTCACGTGTATAGACTTCTTTCTGGAAGTTAGAACCAGATATTTGCGATGACGAAGCCCATTTCTTGGCAAAATTTGATCAGACGTTGACTCCTTGGATTTCTCCATCAAGCCAAAGTTTTTCAGTTATCTTATGCTTTACTATATATCCAATTTTAGCATTAAAATCTCCCATATGTATTGCTTCAAGTTTTTTGGTTGCGTTTAGCACTTCTTCGATTTGATGGTAAAAATCTTCGATTTCCTGTTCCTGATCGAAAGAGAAGGGAAGACATTAGAAGAAAATGTAACGTACACTGTATAAAGGAATGGACACAAAATAGAAAAAAAGAATGGAATATATACATAATCAGAATAAAGGAGACCCGTGTCGTCAAAATAGCAAGAGATAAGAAGTCTAAGTTTAAGCAGCCTTAAAGAGGAAGATGTTCCTGATATGCTTACTAATATGCTATTTCTTAATTAATGATACACCATTTCACCATTTCTATGTGATCTGTGGACGCCTGGAGGATTTTAGGACGTATGAATAGATATTGTTACTAATGATGTAAGGAAAAATTAGAAGGAAAACGCGTTCCTGACAGACTAGTTATGACATGGGTGCATAACCTTAAGAAATGGATAGGACTAGACCTCTAAACCTTAATAAGAAAAGCCCTAAATAGAGATCATTTTGGTGAAGTCATCGCCAACCTTTATTAGAGACGGAAAAAAACACTTTTCAGTATCCAATTGTTAATTTAGGGAGCCAGGGAGAAAACGCGTTCCTAACAGACCAGATATGACATGGCTGCATAACCTCAAGGAATGGATAGGACAAGACCTCCAAGCCTTAACAAGAAAAGCCCTAAATCGAGGTAAATTTGCTGAAGTCATCGCCAACCTTTATTAGAGACGGCAAAAACACTTTTTAGTATCCAATTGTTAATTTAGGGAGCCAGGAATGTAAATAATCATATCTTCGGCTTTTTCTTCTAAATTATTAAAAACCTTGGAACAACAGGCATACAAGAAGAATGAAATTTTTCGGCATATAACTTTATAGCCGAATTCTAAGGAATTTGTGGATTTACGGGGTAATAAAGAAAAAGAAACAAAAATGCGGCAACAAAATTTTGCCCAAATAATAACGAAGACAAACAAATCTTCGATACGTGAGATATAAATTACGTGACAGTAGCGAGTAGTGGATTCACTTACCTCGGAACTACCCTCAACTCACAATGGGACTACGCTCAAGAGATTAGATCCAGAATTGAAATGGCACGGTCTACATTTATCAAGTTGTTTTGTTTGTGTTTAAATGACTGCGGACACTAAATCCATTCGCCAATCTTACAATTTGAGGTGTAGTGTGTGTGTGTGTGTGTGTGTGTGTGTGTGTGTGTGTGTGGTGTGTGTGTGTGTGTAGAGTAATTGTCTTGATACTTAGCAAAGTCGACGTCATTGTCTTTGCTAAGAGACGCTAATTGTATCCGAACGTCTGCGGTCCCTCCGGTGTGTACCGATCACACAAGGATATAAATTATTTTCATTTATTAATTTTTTTAATAAACGAAAATTTCCACCCAGGTGGGATTCGAACTCACGACCTTTAGATTTAAAGGCAGGCGCTCTTACCACTGAGCCACAGAGGGGGTCATTTATCAAGTTAAGATCCTTGCTGTGCTGCAGTGATCTCAGTTTGGGAACCAAGATGCGGATAGTAAAGTGCTACATTCTTTCAATGTTACTATATGGAGTTGAAACGTTGACACAGACACAAGCCACAGAAAAGCGGATTGAAGCCTTCGAGATGTGGATCTTTAGAAGGATACCCAAAATATCCTATGTGGACCTATGTCATCAACGCTGAGGTCCTACAGCACATGAGAAAAGAGAAAGAAGTGCTTAATTTAGTAAAACAACGTAAGCTTGAGTACCTCGGGACGTGATACAGAACGAAGAAAAATATCGAATTCTTCAACTTGTTAGGCATGGTAAAGTATTTGGAAGCAGAGGTCCGGGACGCCGCTCGTCGTATCTCATGTTTAAAAAAACCTCCGACAATGGTTTGGGACGACCTCCGCGGAGCTGTTTCGCAGAGCAACAAACAAGCAATGGTTGTCAACAACACCATGATAGCCTTGATGATCGCCAATATCCGGACCGGATATAGCACTGAAGAAGAATAAGAAGCGAGTAGAGGAAAAGGCTTGCTTAAAAAATTGGATCTGTTATACATTAGGACAACTGGTTATATGACGAGTGTTAAAACTAATCATTCATAATATGGTAAGCTATCGAATAAAATATTTGCAAAATAACACAGAAGATGTGGTCTGTCTACTTTGCTTAAACTAAAGGTTTTGGCAGAAATATTGTTAGCTTTATCTTAATTACTATTGCCCTTGACGCTTCATCTTATTTAAGGTCTGTTAAATGTTTTCCTTACTAACCCTATTATTTAACTCCTCTTCTCCTTGACTCCTATGCTGTCCACTATATTTTTCGGTCAGTTAAATTCCTCTATTTCTTCCAATTGCCTTTTATCTAAATTACAGTATTGTTACTGTTTGTAAATAAGACAAAATATGTCTCCATAGTTGCAAGACAAGTATCTTATTTGTATTTGAAAGTTAGAGTTTGAACTATTCTCGTAAATTATAAATTTTAATATTTAAAATAAATATTATTAAATTATTATATATAAATTAATTAATATATTAAATATATTATAAATTATTATTAATTTGTATCTTTTTGCTAGCTGCGGGTGATTTTGAAACCTGTGAATCGCCTATCAAAGGGATAGGTTTGGACTCCATAGAATGCCATCCAAATTGGTTTCAAACATTGATTGCTTTGTTAAGGTTGAGGATTCTTAGATTGCGACGTGATATCAAGAAATTATACGTTATGATATTTCTACCTTTAGGTTTAGCTGTTCTAGGATTATTTGTTAATAGCATGGAAACGGGTAAGTTGCCGTTATAACTTAAATAATTTACATTTTTTTCGTGTATTTTTTCTAAAATTAAAGCAAAAAAGAAATTATATGTAGGTTATTAATAATGTATATTTCGTCCTGTTGCAACACATCCCCTACCACATCCGGTTATAGCGGAGTTTACTAAAACTTCCTTATTTTAAATATAACGCCCTGAATATATATATATAATATATATATATATATATATATATATATATATATATATATAATATATATTTCTACCCAATTATCAGTAGTTGTCTATTATCTTGATATTCTACAGTTTGCCTTTATATGGTCCCTATTATTTCTTTGTTACTTATCAATCTTGATTTCACTGCTCGTACGTTATACATCTGTTATCTGTACACTTGATATTTCATTTGCTCTACATACTTCTTTCAAATTCAAATCGTCCATATACAATAACTTTTTTTTAATTCTTTTCCATGAATACCAAACAAAATTCCATCACATAACATTGAATCAGACTCGCTAAACTCATAAATTTTCAAGAACTTTTTGGAGCGAGTTAAAAAATAGTCGAATCGTGCTTTCTCCTCTGTTTTCTGTACACAAATCTCTCGTACACTGCGTTCTTTTTAGAGGGAAAATCTGTTTCCAACTCATTCAATAAGGCTGTAAATTCTTGCCTTTGAACGTTAGTTAACTTGAGCTACCATGCTGTCCTCACCAATAAGATATATTAGGGTGGCAATCTTTATTTTATCATGTTTCTCATCGTTACCGCTTGCTATTAAGCGGCTATCTATTTCTAAATTGTGTTTAAATTTTTAAAATTTTTTGACAAGTTACCTTCAAATGACATTGGGAATTAAGAGTCATAGTCTTAAATTACACATGTTCATGTGAACTTTCTTCTTCAGGCCCGTTCAAAAATTATATCCCGAAATATTTAATTTCCAAAGGACTGCGCCATGTTATATTATTATAAAGTAATGAACAAAGTATTTTTGTCGTTTTCTAACAATATAATTTTACATATCAAAACCTGAATTCGCCGCCTAACATTGATTGCCTTACATCACATCCCTCAATTATCTTCTTCTAGTTTTGGCTTATGCATCATTGTTATTCAGCCACTTATAAGACATTTATGATGAAATTATGAATAATTTAATATCATTAATATACATTTTTTAGTTTGTTAATATACATTTCGTTTAATATTTCAGCGTATTCTACCGATGATACTGATCATTATATTCATAGTCCTTCTTCATTTCTTCCCACGATTGTCTAATATTTGCTTTTCTGTGCCATGTAATACCAGCTTGTTTCCTTATGTCATAGTCCTATCCCTAATTTACATCTTTTTGGTATCTTGACGCATCTTGGATACCACAGTGTAATTATAATGTTTTTAATTTTTTTAGTCTAGATTAAAAAACAGTTTATTGCTAATTTACAATTTAAAGTGTAAATGACAACAAAAAATCGAATATTAGTTTCTTCATTTTGAAAAAGATTTCTTTATTTTGTGGATTACAAAAGTATGTTTTTTATTTTGCTAATCTTATCGGCTTATTTAGTGTCATTAATATATAAATTTTAACATTTCTAGGCCAACTGCGAACAAAATCGTTGGTCTTGAACCTAACAACTTATCCATCAATGCCAATAGCTGTACATAACGGATCCGATGCCAATGTGGATGATTTTCTAATTCAATTATTAGATTTAGGAGTTGATGTATTAGACGACTACGATGGAAATTTTTCATCTTTGTTAAATATAGCGCCTCATATGGTGGCCTTCAATGTGAATAGATTTGATTACCCCGATTATAGTGTGACAGTGCTCTACAATGACACCGAGCAGCACAGCTTGCCTATTGCCATTAATTTAATCAACAATGCCCTCTACAGGTACGTTTATGTTAACTCAATAATTTTAAGAATATACAAGAATAAAAGTTACAAAATTTCTTGTAACGCCCCTTTCATTTTAAAAATAAATCAATATATTTTAATATTGTAATCCCAACAAACTCTAGTAAGTATTTGTTAAAATCTTAGCAAAAGTATTTTTTTTCCAATAAATTATTACGCACATTTCGGCTGATTCAAAGGAAATAGGTATCTTGACTATTGACTATGAGTTTCAGGATGGTGTTCGTGTATATCTAATGCTATCTAGATTTGATATCAAACATATTAAAACGTATTTTAGAGTGGAGACCAAGGCAAGAAGCAATGCGGAGCAGAGGACGCTCACCAACTAGATGGAGTGACGACCTAAAGCGTGTTAGCAATAACTGAAGAGTGTAAAACTAAGAGTATAGATTTTCATTCTTCCTGTCAATCTCCATGTTATAGAGCTTAAGCCAGCCTTTTGAGCTTATGCTTTGCGCTTAGTGAAACCCTTCTTAATATACGTCTTGACCTCAGAAAAAGGCTTCGAACTAAAGTTGCTACTAGAATAGCTGTCTTAAAACAATCTCTTATTCATGATTTTACAGTTATCGTGTTGCCGTCTTAGTGCTAATACAGCGATATGACGGTTCTTAATGTCTAACTCTCGTCCTTAAAGTTCCAATCCACTTCGCGATATTTTGGATTTAGTTTAGTTGTAAGGATTAACTAACCGTGATTCTACCTTTTGTAATACAATTATTAACGGTCACCTATATCCATTTGGATATCCATAATTATAAATGATATCAGTGACCATATTGGCATCTAGAATAGCTGAAGTTCTTCTCAATATTACTGTATATTAAAAAACTTTTTATAAAACATTCTACAGAATACTAATTGTAATTAAAATTTGAAATGATATTTTTGTTATAAAACAGTATTTCTTCTTCTTTAACTGCCAAATTCGTTACGGATATTGTAGTTTTCTTTCTTTTGTTGTTCTTTAAGCTTATTTTTCGTACTTCATTCTTCTTAACACTTTAACTTTCGTTACATGATCTTCAGAATCCGTTTATATGTCGACATGTAAAAATCTTATCGGATTTCGATTAAGCACCCACGATTCAACTATATGATACAGAACACTGTAGGACTAAAGTCAAATCTCAGCTACAAAAACCATTTTTGTTTTTATGAAGTTGATAGGTGCTTATTTAATTCTAACGTTTATTTCAACAGTATAGTCATTATTTTCGGTTACTAGGGATCGTTCCAAAGTACCTGTATATCTTTACCATTTCGATATGCTAGTATCCCATAGTAGAAGCCACAGCTAGAATGCAGGATTCAATCAATCATCGATGTATAAATAAGAGAGTTACATTGTCGAACTAAACAATACCATGAAGAAAAATACTATAAAAAAAGTAAAATATATCAAAAACTCATTGTTGATAGCTTATCTATATTTATCAATTTTCAATAGGTTCCATTGTAAAAACATTCTTTGGGAAATAAATATCATTATAAAGTCATTAAGAGAAGCTAATCAGTTTTAATACCCATTGTTCACGTAAAGAAAACATGTCCTTTCTCGATTTGGGTACTGGTTATTTGACCGAAAATTTGTTGGCAAAAACTGTAACAGCTCAGTTCTATTTCATTTTCGGAAGAGGGTGAAAGTACCTTCATCATGGAGCCGTTGCCAGTATCTGTCGTGAATTTAAAATAGGGTATGACTCTTAGTGTGCAAGTAAAACGTGTGGTGTTAAATGTATTGAACCATCATCTGAACTTATAAAATGGTGACAACTTGACTATTCCTATGGAAAATGTTTCCAAAATGTGCGACGTGAGGGTTCGCAAAATTGTGACATCTGCGAGAGGCCCAGCAAGACGAACTGAAAGTTTCCAGTCCAATTTACCTGAGAATACTTACGATGACGGAGTGAAATCTCGAATAAGGAAAATTATCCATGGTTTTTTTTTAGAAAACATACCACCAACTCTCGACAGCATAATGAATGAAGGATGATGAGTACCTATCAACTTTTTCAAAAACCACATTTCGTAGGCTACTAAATAACACGAGTTTTGAATATAGTAAAAGAGGTCGAGATTCGATAATGATGGAAAGAAAAGATCATATCCTCGATACACAAGTACCTCAGACAAATAAAAACATTGAGGAAAAAGGATAATGTAAACCTTTTTTATACGGAATAGATGGAAAGAAAAGATCATATCCTCGATACACAAGTACCTCAGACAAATAAAAACATTGAGGAAAAAGGATAATGTAAACCTTTTTTATACCAATGAATCTTGCACTAACGTCGGTACTTCAGTCAAAAAGGAATGGAGGGACACAACGATCAAGAATCCAGGAGATGCCTTCATAAAAGGGATATCTACTGGACTGAAAGCTATAACACAAAGATGTCTTCGGTTTGTTCTTCTTCATGCTGGAAGCGAAACTTATTCATTATTCTTTTTAGTTTTTGGTTCAATAACCTCCCATACCATCACCTGGTTTCCGAGTTGGACCGCTTCGATTTTTATTCCACCGAGCTTTCGGCTTCGTCTCTGAAGTCTTTATTAGTGTTTTCGGGATCTGTCTCCTAATCCCCCAGATCACTTCACTACACTGTTTACTAGTTTCTGCACTACTTCTGCTTTGGACGGAAGACGGTCGATAGTGACACAGCGTTTGGATGGGAATTGGAGCGAAAATTCGTAATGGAGGGTATTGAATTGGTAGACAGAGAAAATTGTTTTCTTCAAGATTGAGTGCCGTCATTTCTTTTATTAAGACAATTCGGCGGCTTTCGATCTCTATCGCTTCTCCAGGAATTGTTGGTATATTTTGATCTCTATCGTTTCTCGGAGGATTCTATACATTGACTTAAATCCCATAAACCACTGCCAGGATTGCAACAAAACTAAATATTAGTCATTAGGCGTAGAAACACACTATGCACATAAAAAGCGTATTTCTCTTTAGTAATGACTTTTCCCGTATAACAGTATTTGATTTTAAATAAGTACAATTTCTTTCAGACTCTTAACTGGTGATATGGAAGTGAATGAGAAGTGGAATCCAATACAAGTTAGAAGTCAGCCTTTTCAACAAACATCAAGTGACTTTAGTCTTGGAATGGGTACTGCCACGTTTACTATGGGGATGATTTTTGCACTTATACCAGTTACTTTGGCGACTGATATGGTGTACGATAGAGAGGTAATATATTTTCTTATTACACTTTACAATTGTTACGTATTATTAATTAAAATAGTTCTTAATTTTTTATCTATTCGTTTTAATTAATTTGACGAAGGTGTCCATCCACCAACAATGATTTACACCAACAATGATTTACAGAACGCAATGCAACTACTGAATAAATGCTATCATGAATACGGACTAATGATGCAAACATCCAATTGATTATTAAGGATACTGTAATTGAGAGTGTGGATACCTACAAATACTTAGGAACATGGATAACCTCAAATGTAGACCAAATTAAAGAAATTAAGACACGTATTGAAATATCACGTGCATCATTTGTTAAACTTAAAAAGTTTCTTTGTTGTCGGAATATAAGGTTAGGACTACGCCTAAGAATCCTTCGGTGTTACGTATTCACTACTCTTTTTTATGGCTTAGAAGCTTGGACCTTAAAACAAGTGCATCTGAATAAGTTGGCCGCCTTTGAATTTTGATGTCAAAGTATGTCAAACATTGAAGTTACTAGAAGAATAGTAACCCTCTTAAGAGAGGGCAAAGATACTCATTACTACAACTTATTGTGCAAGGCAAAATTCGAGGAAAGCGAAATGTGGGAAGACGAAGAATATTGTGGCTTAAGACCTTGAGGGAATGGTTTGAATGCAGTAGTGCAGAACTCTTTAGAGCAGCAGTCAGCAGGGTCCGCATAGCCATGATGATTTCCAACCTTCGATAGAAGATGGAACTTAAAAAAGAAGAAGCCCGTCCACTAGACCTGTACAAGTTGGTACAGTGTTCCAGAATTCAGGAATGATATTATGAAAAAATGGAAGACGTACAACAGGTCAGTTGGCTGCAGTAAGGGAGGTTTATAACAGTCGGCTTCCAAAAAGATTTATGAGCAGTATAGTAATGTTATATTGTACACATATATGGTATTAGATATTCTAAAAATTGAAAGACTTAGACTGCGGCGTTGAAGTGCAATTTGCGAGTGAATCTAGTCAGCTGACAGATTAATAGTGCAGTAAGAGATATGATTCGGTTTTGTATCCGAAACAACAGACGCTGTCGAACATGCATTGAAATTAAAATGGAAATGGGTTGGGCATAACGAAAGATATCAGGATGGAAGATGGAATAAAGAAATTGGCCGCTGGAGACCATATACTGCAAAAAGGTCAAGAGGTCAACCGCAAATGAGATGGAAAGATGACATTGAGCAAAGCGCAGGTCCAATGTGGAAAAGACAAACAGAAGACAGATACAAATGGAGACAAATGGGAGAGGCCTATATTCAACGCATGAATATATTTTGGGCTATAGATAGAAGAGATAGGATTTCGCGGCCCGGTGACACTAATTTATTTTTTACTACCTTAAAAATGTACACAAAGCACAATCTTTGTAATTCATATGATTCTCAAAGATAGATATTTATATATAGACATATATTTTGTTCACTAACAAAACAAAATGCGATTTGCAATATTTTCACTAGCGCAAATCACCACGTGAATGAACAAGTTGTATAACCTACATGCATGCTGTTGATGATTGCGTTAATTATATGACCACCTAACATTCTTAATCGCAACAGCATCAAGAATTTACAGGATCAATTTAAAAGATGTTTAGACTCTTTTGTAACCAAAATCACTGAATGCGAGATTGTTTCCAAGAATTTTTATTATTTTTTGTTCCTTGTGTGTTAAGAAGAAATTATGTAATTCCAAATATCCATATCACTGTATTTATTGTATAATCCCAATTTTTACGTTTTATTATAATTTATAGTAACTTCTTTTTACTAATGTTGTACCTACTTCTAAATTTAATGAAGCAATTAATGATCAATATTTTTTGTTTTAGATAAAAGCAAAAAACCAACTACGAGTAAATGGCCTATCGTTTTCTTTATACTTTATAAGCTACTTTATAGTTCTGGCTGTAATAATGGCTTTTATTTGTTCGATACTACTGTTGCTTGTACTACTGTTTAAAACACCATCATTATCTTCGTGGCCTGCACTAACTACAATAGGAATACTAGTTTTGTTTTACTGTCCATCGTCCATACTGTTCAGTACTTGCGTCAGTTATATATTTGATAAAACAGATTCAGCGCAGTCAATTATGTCAAATGTAGCGACTTTTCTTGGATGGATTCCTTTTTTGTTGGTTATGATCCTAGGTAAGTACAATTCAAAACTCGATTCTACCACTTTTATTAATAAATAAATAAAAACAAAGATGGAACAGAAATATATGGAATTTTTCATATAAAAATGTTTGTACGTCATTCAAGAATTACGACGTCAGAACCTCACAGCGTTGCCAAAACGTCAAAGTATTATATTAACAGTAAATACACTTAGCTTTAAGACTACGTCTGCAGCACACTAAAATAGATAAGCTAACATTTTAATACAAAATTAAAAATTCTAAATTTTAAACTTACCCCTGTTAATAGTAAAAACGTCCCGCCGTTATTTCTTGTTCAAAATAGTATGTCTTAGAAATCTATCTTATCTATAAAAGCTTATCAGCTGTCTACAGGCTATTTAGTTGTTTTGGCATAGCACAATCACAATAGACAATAATAATTAGTTTTTACAGTTAATAATCTAAATCTAATACATATTTATAAATACAATTTAATAATATATAATATATTATTTCAAATTGTGTAAGAAATCAAAACGTAAACAAATTTCTTATTTTAAAAAAGCGGCAACACTTAAACAATTTTTCCAAACGCTGAACTGTCATTGAAATTTGAAGTCTTCCCGTATCAGTTGCGTACAATTGTCTAATCTATTTAACTAAAATTATTATTTTGTGGAATATTAGACTTAAAGAGTTATTTCATAAAATTTATATTATTAATAACAAATGTTTTTAATTATTATTTAATCAAGATAATTCTAAAATTCCCAATATAATCATGACTACATTTTTCTGATTATTATACCCTATTGACGCCTATAAAAGATCGAGCAGTTCCGTATGGGTTTAAAATACCAAAACCAATATAGTACAACTTCAAAGTTAACAGTAGCAGCATTAGCAGACGAAAAAACAGTATAGTTAATAACTAAAATTGCACAAATATTCTGCCTGTAATGTGAAAACGTTGCGTTTATCGTGATTATTTTTCGAGATAGGTCATGTGTACCAAGTTTTGTAGAAAAAGTTTGTTAACACAACAAATAAATCTCTTTGCCGTTAAAGAATAGGTAAATTTATTTAATGAGACCAATAAGAATAATAATTTTAAAAAATTACTTCAACCTAAGAATGTTTAAGCCTCTTACTAGCCTAATAGGACTAAAAACGTTAACTCGTCTCTTATGTTTTTTTTTATTAAAACCATGTAGTAAGACATTAACGAGTACTATATAAATCGTGTTGTACGACTAGTAGTACTTTTTGACAAACCAATTCATAGTATTAAGTTGTAAAAAGAAATGGTTCATTTAAGTGAAATAGATCGTATTGAAACATTAATAATGAAAGGTTATGGTGAGCGTGTTATAACAGCGTCTGAAAAAGAAGAATGATTAAATGGAAATTGTCCAAAATAGGCTTATAGAGCCAATTTTCATTGACGGAAACTTGACTTTTGACAAATATTTAGATTTACTAAATAAATTATTCCTGCACTTCAACAGAATGGCTAGTTAGCGCAAAATTGTTGGTGTCAACAAGCTGGAGCACTTCCCACTATACAAATCTGCCATCAAGCCAAGGCTGGCTATTGCAGATCAAGGCACATGTGACTAGGGACATATCGTTCCTGGATAGTTAAATATATTTTCATCGACATTGTGTCGTTTAATTTAATACTTTTAAGTATCCAGTTTTAAATTTAATCCCACTCACTGCTTGGTGTTGCGGCTATTAGCGCAAGTATTTCAAAGTTTACTGAAGACTAAAGGATGATGATTAAGTCCTTACTTATGTTCACTCCTTAGAATTACGTTTGAGTGTACCAATTCATTGGAGCGAGGTGTATTAACTCGTGTAAAACAAAAGTCACTCCACCTCGCTCCAATACTCAAGACCATCCCTTTCTCCCCTATGGCACTCTGGTGCGAGTTAAAGGCACAACTCTCAGCCAAATGCTCTTCATGTGGGAGTCCTGGGTAATAGAACTTGAACATGGTTCCCTAAATGATTTACATTTAGGCCAGCGTGACGCGATTTACTAGTGTTATCCTCTTGTGGCTTATCCGCGAAACTGAAATTGCTTGCCTGGGCCTCAAGCCTCCGCTATCGGCTGCGCCCAATTCGGACACTTGGTGATCAAGAAGTTGGGCCCTACGTGCCCGAGTTTTTGTGGTTTTTGTTAGTTTTTTGTTGGCTTGCGCCTGTTTTTGTTAGTGCTTTTTAATTTTTGGGGCCGATTTTTAGATTTTTTTTTTTGTATGATGTCCTGAAATAGAATCTTAGATAACTAAGGCTACACAGTGTTATTGTGCTTGTGTGCTTTGGTAGAGCCACGAACTGTTGTCTTTCTTTCTTTTACTATATCTCTGAGATTTGTTCTCTCTAGGGTTTGTTTATTTTATCTTCTCCGATTATTTTTTATTTTGTTCTCTTTCTAGGGTTTGTTTTTCTCTATACCGTTTACCTTATTTTATTTGCTGTTGTGGACGTTTGTGTTTCCAACGATGGAACGCGTTATGATCTCTCGCAGTATGGGACTTGGGTAATTCTCAAGTTTGGCTAATTTTATTCTGGCTTTTTCCTTCGTTATTTTTAGTCACCCTGATTTGTTGCAGTTTTCTGAATAGGAATCATTCGGTTGTATATCTTGGAACGTTAACTGCTTCTCTTAAACTGCTGTTATATCTTTTTCTTTGTTGTGTTACATACGTACGTTAGTATCGGTAGTATGATACTATTTATAAATCCCATTTTTGTTTTTATCCTCAGTTTACTTTTTCTATCTGCGAGTCTTCTTATTGACGCTTTTGCCATGTTTCTTTTTTGTATTGTAGCGTCTACGTGTTTTGTAAATAGGGGTCCTTTGTAAATTAAGAGTCGCAGGTATTTACCTTTGCTTTTCCATTCGATGGGATTTTCTTGCACTATTAGTTGTTCCTCTGACTGTTAATGTCTCTTTTTGAAGAGCTCTGCTTGCGTTTTTTTCGGTATTATGGCGATTTTTCATTGTAAACTTCATTCTTCGATGTTTTCCAACGGTGTTTGCAGGTTATTTACTGCAATGTCTATATTTCTACGGTTGGCCGCAATCGCTGGGTCATCGGTATAACTGCTGAGTAAGGTTACAGGTGTTCTTGGAATATTGGCGGTTCATATTGTGTACAGTAATGGAGAGAGGACCGCTCCCTGTGGCACTCCAGCCTCCAGGGTTACGAGGTCGGACACGACTTGTTTTATCCGAATTCTAAAACTCCGATTGCTCAAACATAATTAGTTTAATCTCGTCATTGCGCCACTGTATCCGTAGCCACTCATTTTCTAGGTTAGACCTTTGTGCCAGACTTTATCGAAGGCTTTACTTACACTAGGAAGGCTACTCCTATGTATTGTTTATCATTGAATCCAGCTGCTGTGTACTCTGTTAGTCTGAGTACTTGTAGCACGCTGGAATGCTCTGATCTAAATCCAAATGGTGCCTGGTATTATTCCTAGCCTGTTTGTTTCAGCTTGAAGTCTGTTAAGAATAAATCTTTCTATTTTGCTGATTGCTGGCAGTAAGCTTATCGGCTTATAGTTTTGTGGTAACGTGCCGTACTTTCCTGGTTTTGGTATCATTATCCCATGGCTTCCTTCCATCGATTTGGGAAGAGCCTGTATCTTAGCATCGCGTTTACTATATTTGTTAAAAATACTATGGCTCTTGCCGGTAAGTATTTCAGAGCACTGTTTGTGATCTGATATGGTCCAGGTGCTTTTCTTGGTGAACTGTTTTTAATTAGCTCGTTTATCTCCTCCGGTCATGTTGGAGGGATCATTTCATTTGGTTTCTCGGGCCTTTCTTGTTGTTCTTCGACTTCTTCTATGAAGTCTATATCCTCATCTGGGTGATAGTTTAGTGTACACTCTCTCTCAAGAGTCGTCCTCATCACATCGGCTTTTTCCTCAGTGGTTTAGACAATACCTTGTTCGCCGTGTATTGGGGATGGATTTTCTGTCACTTCTGAGTATTTTTGGAAGCTTCTAAATATTTTGCCTATTTAGGCATTGCTCCTACATATCTTGTACGTGGTTGTCCCAGTTTTGACTACGGTGTTCTTGTAGTGCTGTTTTAACTTTTCTATTTAGACGGTTGGCCTTGTTTTTGTCCACCTGGGTTCTTGTTCTTCTGGCTCTCTGTTTGGCTCGTTCTTTTCTCTTATCTTATCCTTTATTTTCTAGGTTATATTTTGAAATCGTACCGTGTGTATTTCTACTTCTTCTTCTTTAGTGCTGTTCCTTAGTGCTTCTTGTATGATATTCTCAAGCTCTATGACTCTATCCTCTATAAAACTGTATGTCTGTGTATATTGTCTTAATAATTATTATGTATCGCATTGTTATTATTATAGTTTGAATGACAATAAGAAGTCTAGACAGTTTAATTTAAATAAATAAATAAAAACTTCCTAAAGGCTCTTATTATATTGGTATACATTAATAGTGAAGGTTAGATATTTATGTTGTACATCTACATAAGAGGATCATGATGTTAAATCATGGAATATGTAAAGAATACTCTAATTTAAACACAAAATAATAATTAAATTTGTATTGTTTTAGGTGGAAATGTAGCTCTAATACTTCATATAGTCTGCTCTCTCCTAAACACCATGTATCTTCCTTACGCAATCATCTATTTTGTACAAAGAGTAGATTTGGCTTGCAAGAGTAATTTCGGCTGTACAGAACTTACTTTACAAAACTACATGACAATAGAAATAGTCGTTATGTTTGTGGGATTAATTTTGCATATTCCGTTTTGGTTCTTTATACTTCTCATAGTAGATATTAAGAAGAATGGAGGAAAAGCGAAAGATATCTTTAAGTTTAGGAAGGTATGTACGTATTTATGACAATTTAGATTTACAAAATAATAAATGCTTATTTATATGATTCCCATATTATTTAGGTACATTATCCACTATTAAATTTAAAATTTCTTTATGCAAAATACGCAATTTTGCATATTTACATGATCCGCAGAAATATGTAGGAACTATATATTTTTTTATTAACTCCAATTAAAATTATAATCTCTCCAAAAATAAAAAGTAATTTGTTTGTTTACATAGCGTATAGGAGCCTCTTCCAGTTGCCCTTTTCTTCATTTAACAACTGTAAATGTTACTAATTTATTGTGAATAATTTAATTCAAAAGTATGTAAGTTAAAAACAATAAAATAGTAAAACACAATCACAGCTACATATCACATAATTAAGGTAGAATTTAAAATACAGTTGGTTTTGGTTTAACATTAAATCTGTTTGGTAGATCATTTGGTTTAAAACGTTTCAGCCTACGCACTTTATTATTGTCATCGAATAACCGACTTGCGAGTACATTGGGGTGCACTTTTATCCGTTTACCATATTTGACACTGTAACAACACTGTTTACAACTTCTTGTACCGAAACTTTTACTCTAGACCTTAACATTTTATTCTAGAAGTGTTGGGGGATTGCAAGATTAGAATTGCTAGCGGTACCCCATAGCTGAACACCATATGTCCATATGGACTTGAGGATATAAGCAGTGATTTATCCAATGTTAATTTAGAGTTTCGACCAATAAACCAGTACATATGTCTAAATTTAATGCCAGTTGTTCACTTTTGGTAAGGATGTGCTTCTGCCAGGTTAGTCTTTTGTCAAGATGGATACCTAAGTATTTTGTGTTGTTCGCCTTACTTAATTGCTACTGCTTGTCATTGAGTGTGACCGGAGGCATTCACCTCATTCTGTTGTGAAGGTTACATGTGTTGACTTGGTCTCATTTACTCATAATTCGCTATTTTTTAGCCAAGTTTCTATTTTATTTAGGTTTTCTTGTACATTTTCTGATGCTTTTGTGGGATTAGAATCCATAGCCTGTATTGCAGTATCGTCTGCAAAAGTAGCAACTTCTTTGTTACTGCTGGATGGGAGGTCTGCAGTGAACATCAGAAATAAAATAGGTCCTAGTACGCTTCCTTGTGGAACACCTGCTTTGATAGGGTGGAGCTGAGTATATTCATTGTGCTGCTTTACCAGGAAGTATCTATCTCATAGGTAGGATTTTAGAAGTGGAACGGAAGGATATGGCAATTGTTTCTTTATCTTATAAAGTAGGCCTTTATGCCAAACCTTATCGAAGGCTTGACTAACCTCTATGAAGGTTGCTTAGAGGTAGGATTTACTTTACAGCACATATATTTTTTACTATTCTGTACACCTTCTCGATATTCCTATGCTTTAGCCTAATGTTGAATTGGTTGGTCCTGAATAAGTTTATTTTCGTCTAAGATTAAATAATTTGTAAGATTGAAATACATTTTATCAATGGAAGCATTTAGAATACCTTTGATAGAATCGGCAGCAAACTTGTTGGTCTATAGGATTTTAGGTCTTCTGTTTTTTTTTTTCAGGTTTTGGTGTCAGGATAATCTGCGAAATTTTCCATTGACTCGGAAAGTAGTCTTCTTCTTAGAGTGCCGTCTCCCTACGGAGGTTGGCAATCATAATGGCTATTTTTATTTTAGAACTTGCTGCTCTAAACAAATCAATCGATCTGCATTGGTACCAATCACGTAGATTCTTTAACCATGAGTTCTGCCTTCGGCCAACAGATCTTCTTCCTTGAATCTTTCCCTGTATTATCAGTCTCAAAATTTCATATTTTGGTCCCCTCATCACGTGGCCTAGGTATTCCAGTTTTCTGGTTTGTATAGTGGTGATTAGTTCTGTTTCTTTACCAACCCTCTCCAGTACTTCTTTATTTGTAATTCTATCAGTCCATGATATTTTCAATACTCTGCGGTATAACCAGAGTTCGAAGGCCTCGATTCTTTTTAAATTACATTTTTTTAATGTCCAAGTCTCAGCTCCATATAATAATCTTGAAAATATATAACAGCGAATGGTACGTAGTCTGATCTCCAAATTTAGATTTTTGCACGTTAGGAGTGGCTTCATTCGTATAAATGCTGATCTGGCAATCTCTATTCGTCTGTTTATTTCTACAGTATGATCATTGGTTTCATTGATCAAAGTTCCCAAATACTGATATTTTTCTACTTGTTCTATCACGTTACCATTTATTGTCAATAGGTGATGTATATTTTGTGGCCTTTTTGTAATCAGCATGTACTTCGTTTTTTTGGCGTTTATAGTAATTCCCATCTCAGCACTATTTATACTCAAGCTTTCGATAAGATGTTGTAGATCCTCTATACTCGTTGCTATGATCACAGTGTCGTCTGCATATCTTAAATTATTAATTAATTTTCCGTTAACGGTGACTCCCGCTTCGATATTATTGAGCGTGTTTTGGAAGATTTCTTCAGACTATAAGTTAAACAAAAGTGGTGATAACACACATCCCTGTCTAACTCCTCTACAGATCTTCATTTCTTCTGAGTGTTGCCCACCAATTTGAACTATGGCACTTTGGTTCCAATATATTGTTTGCACTATATTTATGATTTTACTAGATTTTACTAGATTTTACTAGATTTACTAGGAAAGTAGTCTGGCTGCAGATATTTGTAACCTTTATTGTAAATTGTTCCAATAACTTGCCTGTTATCAGATCAAACCCTGGGGCTTTTTTTGTTTTTTATTTTTCATAATTGTATTTCTTATTTCTGTCAACGAGAAGTTTTTAATTGGTAAGTCAAGTTGAAACGAGGCTTCTAAGAAGTTAGGAATCTCGCTGAAATTGTCGTTTTGATCTGGTTTGTTTGGTTCAAAAACTTTTACTAATTGTTCAGCAAAGGCTGCGGCTTCTTCTTTGTTATCTCTGACCCATTTACCCTGCATGTCTCTTATTTGAGGACAATATTGTTGTGGTTGTTTTAGCTTTTTTATTGCCTTCCAAAGCGAGTCTGTATTGTCAGAGGCTGCAAGAGAACTTAGGTAATCCTCGATACCTTTGTTTTTGATATTATTTAGTAAATTTTTTAGATCTATGGTAGTTCTGTCCTTTTTTTCCTAGCTGCCCTTTCTCTAGTATTTTTTGTTTAACTGTAGGGTCAAGAGTTTTTCCTGGTTTAGTGTAGCCAATAGTCGAGGTTGCTGCCCACGCTGCTTTCTGTATAGCTGTTGTGAATTATATTATAATTCTTGTTGCATTTGTAATGGAATTTTCACATTGATTTGTCATCTAAGTGTTCCCGAAATTCTACCTAGTTTGTTTTATTGTTATATAGAGTAGTTTGCCTTGGTTTTTCAATAATTTTATTGGACAGTGAGGTTATGATTGACGAGTGATCCGAGGATAAATCTAGAGAAGACTCGACCTGAAAATAATTTTTACTGATTCCTTTTATGGTCCAAAAATCTAGTAGATCGGGTAGTTTTTTGGATCGCTGTACCAATAGGTTGGTTGGCCAGTAGTTAATTATGTTGACTTGTTATCTGATAGATAGGAACTAGCTGCAAATATTTATAAGGACTGTTGTGTTGTCATAATGCAAAGTAAAATTTTAACTTCGATTCTGTTCTGAGCACGCACCTACATGTGTATCTTAAAGAAAGCTCCACCAATCCAGACAGTATTTAAACAGTTTTTACCGAACTCCCAAGAGTCGACATATCACTAATGTTTCGATTTATTCTACAGTATGTATTTGTATATAAACTTTTGTAAAATAAATAATTGTTACTAAAACTATGCCTTATACATATTCAAGAGAATCATGAGTATGAGTGAAAGTACAAGTTTGTAAGATATAAGGCACGGTTTTGTGATATGTGTATAAATCAATTAATCTTAATGGTCCACTTAGCGAAACCACAAAAAAGGGAACACTAAGAAGAAAACCATGGATTTGGATCCCGAAATTTTGATATCCTTTTCTTGTTTGAATTCTGATGTGCTCAACTACATCAAAGATTTATCGAGCTAATAATTGGTCATTATAGCGATTTAGAATATCAATTCCTTTCTAATTATTACGTTTTTCTTCTTGTGACTAAAAAGGCCCCTTAACGTTTTTTTATTCCAGACTGATTTACTTTTAACGTGAAATTATTATTTACGATTTTATTTTTTAGAAAGTTGTGGATGATCTCACGGAAGATGCCAATGAAGCCAGCGATATTGGTGAAAATGAAGACCAAGACGTTAAAGCTGAAAGACAAAAAGTGAAAAATCTAATGCACAATCACATTATAAACCCACCAGTCGTTATGGTAGAGGTAAGTAAAAAAATTTAAAATTTTTACGGTTATTATGTATATGAATGTATATAAAATAGATAATACAATATAATAATGCTTGTTCATTTAAAGTAAGCCATTTAATAAAACATAAAAGTAAGAAAGGAAGCATAAATATTACCAAAAGAATTTTAATAGAGATATAAAAGAAAAAGTATGCCTTTAAGATGGTCAATTCGGACCACAGAGGTCCCAATTGACAGCGAAAAGCTTAACCATCTCCGTTTCGCAGATGACATTGTCTTTATCACAGATAATTTAGGAGAAGCCACAGATATTTTAAATGAATTGGACTTTGCATGTTCGAAGGTGGGCCACAAAATGAACTTGACCAAAACTAAGTTTATGACAAATATGGTCCCCAATAACCATTTAACTATTCAAGACAAAGTGGTAGAACTGGTGGAGAAATGTACGTATTTGGGTCATGAAATAAGAATCAAAGGGATAACCAACCATGCGAAATCCAAAGACGAATTACTTTAGCGTGGGCAGCGTAGGGCCAACATACCATTTAGCCTCAAAAGAAAAGTATTTGACCGAATAAAAAACAAAGATCTGCGAAGAAGGACGAGTAGTGCTGATATTGTGGAATGCATAGCGGAACTAAAATGTAACTGTGCTGGCCATGTAGCGAGAATGCATGACTCACGATGGAAAAGTAAAATCACAAATTGGAGACCAAGAGCAGACAAACGTAATAGAGGAATACCGCCTACACGTAGGGCTGACGACATCATGCTTATCACAAAAAAATGGCAACACAGAGCACAAAATCGCAAAGAATAAAGGAGTTAAGAGAGGCCTATGTCCAGCAGTGGACGTGACAAATGAAAGCATGATGATGATAAAAGGAAAAATCGCGAAAGACAGTGGGCGTAATTTATTGCGTGATAGTAATTAGAAATTGATTTTATAAAAATAAAAACATTATTCTTTTAAGAGAACTACAATACGAGGTAATCACCTCTTATTGTAATAATAATATGCCAAAATAAAAATATTTTAAAATAAATTGTGATTATTTCCCAATAAAAATAGTAAATGATAATAAATAATAATAAAGTATATTAATAGTATTTAAGGATGGACTTACAGTAGTTTACTAGTAGTTTGTTATGGTTCCATCTTCTTCTTCACGTGCCATCTCCGCTACGAAGGTTGGCTATCATCATGGCAATTTTGACCCTGGAGGCTGCCGCTCGGAACAATTGTATGGAAGTGCAAGCAAACCACTCCCTGAGGTTTCTCAACCACGACATTCTTCTCCTACCTATGCTGCGCCTACCTTCAATCTTTCCTTGCATAATTAGTTGTAACAGTTGATATTTATTCCCACGTGTAATATGTCCCAGGTATTGTAGTTTCCTCATTTTAACACTCAATACGACCTCCTTTTGTTTGTTCATCCTGTCTAATACAACTTGGTTAGTTATCTTATCCTTCCAGGAGATTTTTAACATTCTTCGGTACGCCCACATCTCAAATGCCTCCAGCTTACCCATACATTGCTTATTTAGTGTCCACGCCTCCACCCCATACAACAGGACCGAGAAAACATAACATTTAAGCATTCGTATTTTCAGCTTTAGGCTTAGGTTACGGCTACACAACATTTGTTTCATATTGTTAAAGGCACTGCGGGCTTTCTCTATTCTTATTCTTATTTCTCTGGTGTATTCGTTTGACTCGTTAATATTTGTTCCGAGGTAATTGTAATTTTGTACTCGTTCAATGAGATTCTGTCCTACATGTAAGTTGATATTATTGATACGTTTCTTTGTAATTATCATGAATTTGGTCTTCTTTGTATTCAGTGACAGACCAAATTCTTCACTTGCTTCTACCACTTTGTTTAGTAATCTCTGTAGGTCTTCAATATTTTCTGCTATGAGCGCGGTATCATCAGCATATCGGATATTGCAAATGGGATGACCGTTGATCTTTATTCCGGCTTTTTCGTTCATAAGAGCTTTTTTAATAACTTCTTCCGCGTAGACATTGAACAAGGTTGGAGACAACACACAGCCCTGCCGAACACCTCTTTTGATCTGTATTCTATCTGATATCGAGCTGTTAATTCGTACTGTAGCTTCTTGTTTGTAGTATAGATTCCTTATCACACGCATGTCCCTTGTATCAATATTTTTATTTTCCAGTATTTGCATCAGTGGCCTATGTTTTACTGTATCAAATGCTTTGTTATAGTCTAGGAAACACACAAATATGTCCTGATTTACGTCTAAGCAACGTTGTGTTAGAACATTAAAAGCAAACAGTGCCTCTCTAGTTCCTAGTCCGTCTCTAAAGCCAAATTGAGAGGGTCCGATGTCAACTTCCAATTTTTTATATATTCTCCGATGAATGATTTTTAAGAAGACCTTTAATATATGACACATGAGACTGATGGTGCGATGTTCCGAGCATTGTCTCGCATTAGACTTTTTGGGTATGGCTATTATTGTTGTTACTAGCCATTCATTAGGTATGATACCAGATTTGTAAATGCTGTTAAATAGTTCCACGATCTTTATTAAGTTGTTGCCTTTGATGAGTTTAATTATGTCTATTGGTAGTTCATCTGGGCCTGTAGCCTTCCCCGACCTCATTTCTTTAATCGTATATTCCACTTCATCTCTTGTTATTTCTGGTCCTGTGTCACTGTTTATGTATTCGTTATCTACATTGTCTCTTTGATCTTTAAACAGTTGTTCTATATACTGTTTCCAGACTCTTAATTTTTCTTCTGTGTCCATAATAATGTTTCCACTCTCGTCTACTAATATGTTGTGTCTGTTACTTTGTCTCCTCGTCAACTCTTTGATCTTCCGATGTGCATTAAAGCTGTCGTGTTTATTTTGTAGTTGTTCGATTTCTTCGCATTTTTCCCCGTACCAGTTTTCTTTAGCTGTGCGTATTTTTAGACGAATTTCTTTTTGTATCTCTTTATACTTCTGGTTCTTTTTGTTTTTCTGTTTTCTTCTTTCATCCATTAAGTTCAGTATCTCATCTGTCATCCATTCTTTTTTATATTCTTTACTTTTATGGAGGTGACTTATGCTTGGTTTCATTAACGCTGTTTTAATGTCTGTCCAATTCTCATTGATGTTAACTTTTGTGTTGTCTTTTATGGGTTGTATCTTTGTTACTGCTTCATCAATTTCTTGTATCATCTGTTCTCTTACTTCTGGTTTTCGTAATTTGTTGATATCAACTGCTTTTTTGGGGGTTGTGCTATTAATTTTCTTTAGTTTTATTTTCATTCTTGCAACTAGTGGATTGTGATTAGATGATATATCTGCACCAAGGTATGTTTTAATTGACATTATGCTGTTTCTGTATCTTTCATTGATTAGTAGATAGTCTATTTGTTTTCTCACTATGTGATGTTCTGTGTCTTGTGGAGATCTCCATGTGTATAAACGTCTTTTGGGTAGTTCGAAAAAGGTATTTGTAATTACCATTCTGTTTTCCTGGCAAAATTGTACCAGTCTTTCACCAGACTCGTTCCTATTCCCTAATCCAAAATTTCCTACCAAATCATCTGTCCTTCCTTTCCCAACTTTAGCATTCAAATCACCCATTATTATTGTGATGTCCCTTTTTTTGGTCAGTTTCAATGCCGAGTCAATTTGTTCATAAAATGTTTCTATTTCATGTTCTTCTTTGTCCGCTGTTGGTGCGTATACTTGTATTATATTCATTTTTGTGATGTTTGTATTTATTTGTAACATCATAACACGATCGGACAAAGGTAGGAAGTTCAGGACATGACGAGACAGAGACTTTTTTAACATTATACCCACTCCATTACGATGTTGGGGATCTTGGTTACCGGAGTAGTAGATTATGTAATCTTTAATATGACAGCATCCATTTCCCGACCATCGGGTTTCGCTTATACCCAAAATGCTAATATTCATTCTTTGCATTTCTTGAATAACGTTGTGTGTTTTTCCTGGCTCATACATGCTGGTAGCGTTCCATGTTCCAATTTTCATTATTTCATTGGTAATATTTATATTTTGACAAGGTTTTCGCTGGTTGACGACCCGAAAAGCCTTGTCACTTTTCTTGCCGGATCTTGGCCTCCGATCTCCATGATCAGTAAGATTTTGTTGATTATTTATCATGCCATGATAACTATACTAGAGATATCCATTGGATCTTTACTGTAGTGGTTTCTCGTTGCCTGCTACATCCCAATGCCGTTGACTAATATATTAGCTCTTCCGCCTTTGAGGTCGATTTCTCAGCCTCAGGGCAATGAGTTGCCCTACCACCTGTCAGCTCATCCACCCTTAGCTGTTGGCCAACAACTGGGAGATTACTTATACCGGTAATCTTTCGGTAAATTTTCACCATATCTGGTTACCCTCACTTAGTTTAGCCTGCAGACCAATGCAGTTGCCCGGGGTGTGGCACGTGGAGCCATAAGTGAGAGTTAGGTGCCTTATGAGGACCAGATGGTTCCATATATTATAATTAATAAAAATTATGATAATACATTAATAATTCTTACAATTTAATGGGTACATTGAAACATTGTTAGTATGGATTATATTACAGCATTATGCTGTATCATTTTTATAATTTAATAGCAATTAAACATTTTATTTTAGAATTTACATAAAGAATATATCAAAAGCGAACTCAGATGTACATGTTGTAAATCAGAAGAAGAATCTGAGACAACGAAAATAGCAGTTAAGTCTCTTTCCCTAGCCGTAGATGCCGGTGAGGTCTTCGGACTTTTAGGTCACAATGGTGCTGGAAAAACCACCACAATGAAAATAATTACAGCCGAAGAAGCTCCGACTAGGGGGCGAGTAAGTATAGCAAATTACATAAATTTTTAGAATCTGCATACTAGGTCTATATTTAAAAACTTTTTTACTTTAAGGTTCAAATAGCAGGAAACAGTATAACATCAAATATGAATTCTGCATTTCAACTGCTTGGCTATTGTCCACAACATGATGCTTTGTGGAAAAACATTACAGTTAGAGAACACTTAGAAGTTTATGCTTCCATAAGGGGTTAGTTATATTTTCACAAATATTTTTTTAGCTGAATATTTTACTTTAAGGTGACTTTTACTTTCTAAATTTTCAAAAAATCGATTATTGTTATTTTACGTAAAAACATTCGTTAGGACCGGTTTCACCAACGACAAATAGCAGTCTAATGCAATGAATAAAGTTATTCGACCAATAAAACTGACAATTATATGCGTTTCACCAACGTCAAATAAGACTTATTCTATGAATAAACTCCAAATAAGTTATTAGTCCAATATCGGCCAAATAAATATTTATTCTACGAATAAACTGACAACTAACCTCACTTTCTCTCTCTCTCTTGTCGTTTCCTCATTGCTGAGGATCGTGATTCCCTACAATGCGGGCTGTTAATTCTCTCCATCTCTTGCGATTTTGGGCTGCTCTCATGGACTCGGAAAACGCCTCTCCAGTGGCTTTCTGTACTTGATCTGACCATCGGATAGGTGAGCGTCCTCGGCCTCTACGTCCTTCTACGTTGTAGACCTCACTTTAAATATCAATAATAAGGAAAATTCATTAGTTTAACTAGAAATTATCTACACTGTATTGCAGGTAAACGTAATTATATCAGACAATTTAATTTTGTATACATATATATTTATTTTCGAATATCATCTTCATCATCATCATCCTCTGATGACGGACATGAGCAGCGAAGGAGAAGACCACGCTGCTGGCAGCTGCAAAGACGAAACCCTTTTGCTGAATTTGATGATGTGGACTTTAAAACTAGGTTTAGATTATCAAAAAATTCAGTAGATCATTTATTAAATTTGATCGGTAACTAATTGCATCCTGTAAGCAACAAAAATAGACCCATAGATGTGCGAAATCAATTGTTAATTGCTCTTCGTTTTTATGCAACAGGAACGTTTCAAATATGTATTGGCCCTAGGCATTGACAATTATTATTATTTTGACAAATTAATCAAGCAATATCAAATTTATAGGTTATGTATATGATTACAGCATCGAGCAAAAAGACAAAAGAGGGAATCTAATCCTTATGAAAAGGAGACCAAAAAAGTGGCCTCTGATGGCGGAGATATCCAGAAATGCGAATGCGCCAAATTTAAATTTTCCGACACTTATTAACAGTAGCTATATAATATTTTTCAAAATGTGTCTTAGACGGGAAAGTTTTAATTAATTATTAACGGTAATAGTCTAAAATGCGACACAATTGTTAAAAAACTTCAATATAAATAAGATTTCATGTGACATTTGGGACAAACAATAACATAACCCAACTAAATTTGATATCAAACAATGAGTGAGATTCTCTGTCCTTGTTTAAATGTGGCCTCTAAAGATCGCACTTCCTGTCTAACAATATTTTTGCCCCCACTACCTATACATTCCCTCTTTTGTCTTTTTGCTCGATGGATTACAGTGAAAAATAGTGCGATGTGCCTGGCCAAATGCCTAAGAGGTGGAGGCCAAGAGAGGTGTCAACGAGTACAGTCTGTGGAAAATCATTACACTTTGAACTTATTCGACGAATAACTAACTGTGGATTACAAATAGTTTTTGAAACGGAATAAAAATTTATTCTACTAATAAATTTTATTCGACAATTAACTATTCAGTGATTTATTTGTTATTGATGAAACCGGCCCTTAGTATCATAGAAATAGAAATAGGGTCCCAAAATTTCATTAAGAAATTCGAATATCGCTGTATTTATAGTGGTGCGTACCCAAAACTCGTTTTTATACAACACCGCGTGCCCAGCTTCGCATATGCACATGAAACTCGATAATTCCTTTCTAAAACTTGTTTTATGTGAATTAAATTTATCAAAATTTATTATTGTTTTGAAAATCATAAAAAAGGTCTGAACCTGGTGGTTTTTTAAAAAGCTGTCGAAGTAAGGGGGCGCATTGAAATAAGCATAATATAAAAAGAAAATTCAAAGGTAATCGGTAATTGGTCGGAAAATATCGGCGAAGCTCGTACTGCTTAAGCCAATAGAAGGAGCAGCAAGACATCAAAATAGGTGAAAGTTATGAAAAAAAATCTCTGACCGACCATTTGCAGCTTTCACTTAATAGTAAGTGCACCCAATATGCACCAAGAATCGCTCAGTAGAGGTAAAAAATAAATATGGCCATTTTATTCCATAAAATCACAGTAAAAATACTTTAAAAGCGTTTTTCTCGAATTCTCATTTTTCAAAACTGGGAGCCGGTTTTATTCTTTAAAATCTACTATATCAATATCAGTCCACCAAAATTGTTTGATATTTATATATACGACTACTAAATAAACCTCTAAAAAGTTAAAAAAAAACACCTCATATTTTTAATACAGGGGTAAATTCATACCAACATACCAACGATTCGTAGAGACTGGATCTCACGAACGACGACCAGAATCAGGTGCGAGAAGAATCACGACCACCAGAGAAGACCGTTCTTTACAACGCACTTTCTTGCAAAATCGGTTCTTTACGGCTAAAGCAATCCAAAACCGTTTTCAAAATGGTCACGGGTGGACATTAAGCACTTTTACAGTGAGAAGTTTGAGGGAATTTGGTCGAAGGCTGTCTGCCCAGCAACAGGACCTTTGTTAACAGCAGCACTTGAGTTCGTTGGAGACCACGAGCATTGGACGATAGCAGATTGGAAAAATGTTTTGTTTAGTGATGAGTCCAGAAGAAGAAGACATGGGGAACGAAACGCTGTTTGTGTTCGACGAGCACGTGTTGGCAGGCATGTCATTCGAAGGCAATACTGATCTCGTGTTTATTAATAGAGCGTTGAATGCTCACCGATACATTACCGAAATTTTAGACGAGCATATATTGCTTCTTACTGGATTTGTGGGTGAAAACTTTATTTACATGCAAGAAAATGTGCTCAAAGCCCAGATTTGAAACCGAATGAGGATGTTTGGGACCACATCAAACGAAGAGTAAGAAACACAATACCTGCTCCAATAAATCTTGGGGCACATTCGATTGGCATGCAAGAATGGGAAGCTTTTTCTTAAGACAACAGCTAGAATTTGATCAACTCAATGCCAAGTCGAATGAGGAGTGTAATTCAAAATAGAGGTGGTAATACAGAATATAAAAATCACGACTTAATTGTAATTTTTATAAAGAAAGCAGAAAAAATTTACACTGTTAATTCTGAAAATTTCCATTAAAATCATTTGTTATTTAAGAAATGTTGCATACTGCTTTAGAACATATTCTTAAACATTACATAAACATCTAATGACAATCAATTTCTTGTAAGGTTCTTAAAAATTAAAAAATACAAAAATTTTTAGATGGCTTCTTTTTAATTACGCGCAGTGTACTATACCTAATGTCAAGTTTCTCCTTGCCACCTTCTTTTACTTTAGCTTTCCACGCATCATTACATCTAATGTAATACAAAGATATTTTGCTGATATGCAATCCTATGAGTAGTTTAATGTAGAGGTTTCCTTGTTCACATTTCGGCGTAGTCCACAAAAACAAAAAAAATAACATACTAGTTTAAAATTCAAGACGGATCTTTGATTTAGGCGTACATTCGTGGGGTAGTACTGCAATAAGAGATGGGAAGTTACGGGTCAGTGTAACTTATTCCATTGAATCCTTCTGGAAGGTATTAATATCCTTGAAAAACGAGAAACACAAAATGCTTTGTTTCCTGTTATTTCTAAAGTTGATGATAATGGATTCATTCAATTCAATGCGCCAAATCTTAGTCCAATTATTTATACGATTATGAAATGATCTAATTATACCTCTTCTTAGTCTTGACCTACCGCTAAGTCAACAATATCCTATAGTTATTGTCTGATTCGTTAATTCGTGTATGTCGCTATTATATATGTAGCAGATACACAACTGGACACAAGACACTGTTCTATGGTACCCCACCCCTAATTTCTTCTAATTCTGACGAAGCTTCTTCCTACCTAATTCTAAAGACTCTATTTGAGATATGAGTGTACATTAGTTCTGGTCAAAAATTTCTTTAATTTACATAAAAGTCCCCTGTGTTTGATTGTATTAAAAGTCTTTTCAACATCAATGAAAACAGTATTTCTTTCTTCCAATATTTTTCCAATTATATTATATATGCAATTCTGTGAACTTATTATGTGGTTGAATAGCTCTCTCTCTGTAACCAAATTTTCCAATTATGTATATAATCCAGTGGACCTATTCTGTGGTTAATAACTCTCTACTAGTCTCTTTGTAACCAAATTGGTGTAGCAAAATTAGTTTGTGTTCCTCTATAATTGGATTCAAGTTTTTCTATAAAAGCTTTTCGTACAGCTGAGATATTACCGACAATATAGAGATCGATCTGTAGGGCTGGTATTTTAATGAATCAAAATGTCTAAATAAGTAATTATTTTGTGCACCACTTTATTTGAAATACTAACTATTTTTTAAATTAGGTGTGCCTTATCAATCCATTTCACGTCTAGTCAATTCATATTTGAGCGGACTTCAAATCCACGAACACGCAGATAAGCAGACACATCAGTGTTCAGGTGGTACAAGAAGAAAACTTAGTTTTGCCATGGCCATGGTCGGCAATCCAAAAGTAGTTCTTTTAGACGAACCAAGCACGGGTATGGACCCCAGGAGTAAGAGATTCTTGTGGGATACAGTGTTGGCCAGTTTTCAGGTAATTATCATTTACTTAGTTTAACGGTATTACATATGTACTTATGATTTATGAGATTAAACAATAAAATTACGAATTAAAAAATCCTATATTTTATTAAGGAAAATGAAACAAGTATTTTGCAGTTGAAATTTTGGTATAAGGTTGAAAATACGACCTTTGATATATTATATATTATCACAATTATATACTACTACATATATCTCACTACACTGAAGAATTACAGATGCTGGCCACGAAAAGAGACGTCAAGAAGATGGAAACCTTAATAATCTGAATATATCTCTATATATTATGCATCCCAATGCACACGCATCATCATTCTCTTTGCCTTTTCATATCATCTCAAGTTGATACTTATTAAAGATTCTTTTATTAACAACCTAACAAGAATTTTCTAAAATATGCATTTGTCTCCAATAACAAAAGGTTACAGCGAATCTTTGATACATATACCTTTGATTTGGTATTGCCACTATTACTAATATTTTTTTTTCTTTAGGGTTCTAAAGGAGCTATTTTAACCACACATTCCATGGAAGAAGCAGATGCATTATGTTCTAGGGTAGGAATTATGGTCAAGGGAGAATTAAGGTTTGTTTAAACTATCATTTATTTTAATTTTTACCTAATTCTTTTTACTTTGTTTTATAAACAAAACATTTTAAGAAGGATAATGGAATGAATGAGTTATTCTAAAGTAGTAATACAAGCAGAATGAGGATATGAATACTATTTAATTGTATACGTACTATGTCGGTTTTTCTGAAATATAGTAGAATGTTTTCTGTTTAGAATATGACAGACTTCATATAAAACTGACTGTATAATAGTGTAAGAGCTTATGGAAGCAATCGAATCAAAAAAGAATAAAGTAACAATATATAAAGGTCTCTTGTTACGCTTAAGAATGCTACATCTGATTAGTTAATGTGGGAATCCACAATACCTTAAACGTGGCAAACATATCTCTTTAAAAAGACGACTTGAAAACTATAGAGGTATCAGTCTATGAAATGAAATCGATAAAATATACTCTACAATAATTATTAACAACAGATTAAAAACTACTACAGAAGGCATTATGAGAGAAGAACATTACGCTTTTCGAAAAGACGGATCTACTGTTTCCTTTATTAAATCTAATTTTATAGCGGAAATGAGATACCGACAGCGGATCAGTAAGCAATCAAAATTATGTACAGAACAGTAACAAACGAGCATTAGCGAGAGAGCAGAAAACGAGCATTGTCTAGAGAGCAGGATACGAGCATTAGCGAGAGAGCAGGAGACCAGAGAGAGCGAGAGAGAGATAAAGCGAGGGAGATAGTTCGAGAGTGAGGGAGAAAGAGGGGGAATGGGAGGGCGAGAGAGAAAGTAAGAGAGGAAAACTTTATGTGTAAATAGGTTTGAAATTTATCAGGCTAATTCTGTAAGGCGGATAGTAGGGCTCTTATTGGTCAATGCGCATATCTGCTTGGAATTTTATTATTTTATACATAGCAATAGTAAAAACTAATTCAATACGCAATTATGTTTTAGGTGTCTTGGTTCAACTCAACACCTAAAAAATTTATATGGTGCTGGATACACGTTGGAAATGAAGTTGGGCGGTGGAGATATGACACCAACATCAGATTCAGGTGATAGACACGATGAACTTCGGGAATTTATATCATCTCTATTTCCCGACGCAGCTCTTCAAGAAAGTTTCGCCGACAGGCTCGTGTTTAGTGTTCCCCAACAAAGTGTTCCTTCTTTGGCTAATTGTTTTAAACAATTGGAAAAAGGTGAGTACACGTTTATGGTCCTAGAAATGACTAGTTATTATTTTTATTTTAATGACAAGCTGTGTAAATTACACAAGTGTGGTGCCAAAATAGACAGTGAAATCCTTTACAGATAAATTCAAATCGAATGACGGAAATTACTATATATTATTAACATATATTATTTATTTAGCGTATGGTCATTTCATACAGAGCAAATTAAAATCTAACATAATATAAATCATTTAAATATTTAATCGATGATGGTATTACCCAGGCAAATTCCAGTAGGTCTGCATTATATTTCCTCAAATTGCATTCGACAATCATGTGCTCGATGGCTTGTTTCCTGGTGCCACAGTGTCATTTCGCAGAAACTTTTATCCTTGATTTGTCACGAAAATATGTGCAATTTCCATGCTCTGTTCTTCTTCTCTTGAGGATTGAACTTGAAGGATTTTCAGGGAAATCAAGACTTGGCTGAGTTTCAGAGATGCATGGTATGTTACTCATTGTTGGGATCATGGCATGTTACTCATTATTGGGTTGAGCCTGTTGCTCTGGATGCTCTTCCACTGTTTTGTGGAAATTATTTGGTTACATTATTTATAATTTTTATGTGAACGCTATGTAGCTGTATGGGTGTAAAGTTTTGAGTATGCAAGACCAAGAGCTGAGCATTGAAGTGTAGCTGCTAATGATTTCCATGTCGTTACGCAGAGCATCTGTATGATGTTTGTAACGATGCCATCATCAGCGCTCGCCGCCGGCTTGCCATCTGTCTCTACGTACGCACTCCTACCGATGCGCGCTGGAGATGGAACACCGTCGACAATATAACACGACGTCCACCGTAACAGAAAATCGAGTTCGAACCGGAGAACTGATCTGGTCAGAACTCCAACCCGGACCTTTGAGTATTGGGTCAAAGGCCAACCATTCCGAGAGTTCAAGCTGGGGCACTAATATGGTAAGGGTTCCTAACCGGGGTCTAGAAGTATTGATCTAAGGCCAAACTGTCCTACCCGATGGCGACTAACTATTGATTGGTCTCCTTAGCATCTTCACTTTGCCGCGCTATTCTCCAGATATTTTTAAAATAAAGCGCTCCATTCAGAGTGACGCTCAGGTATTCGGGGTTACAATTGTGTTTTAGCAGTTGATTGTCAATGTACACTAACTTTCTGCGGGCCATTTTGTTGTTTAGGTGACAACAGCTAATCTCGGTATTATTAGGATTAGGTTTAAGTCTACGATATTCTAGGTACTGAACTAGCCTTTTAAGATCACCCATTAGGATATCCTTGGGGTTTTGGATCGAAGACTTTTGAGTCGCAAGTGTCCAGTCTTCTGCATATCCAAATTTTTTAGATCTAGTAGAAGGCATATTATCAGTTATATACATACTAAAATAGTATCAGGTATATACATAGCTTTGGACCAGTTCTACTACAAAGGATCAGTCTTTTCAGGAGCTTTTAAGCTGAGCTAAATAAGGTGTCGAGTAGGTAAACCTCTGGTTCTCTGACTCTACTGATTTTTCTGGTTTAAGGGTAGCTATGATTTTGGTTTGTTTAAAAGGGTTGGGTAGTGGGAGTGTTTCCTTTGCCTTATTTTTCTCGTGGGAAAATGTCCACTTGGAAAGATACTACGGTTATCCAGAAACTAAAGAACGATTGTGCATAATGCGCGGCGCTGATCACCCACCGCCGTGACTTCGTGTGTGTGTGTTAGCTACCTCTGTCTGTCGCATCAGTGTGAGTTAAGTCTCGCTACCGTGTGGTCACGTGTCTTTGTTCTATAACATTCTGAAATGGCGGTGCCCATTGAAAACCGAACAAATCTGAAGTACGCGGTGTGATTCTATTTTTGAAGGCGCAAAATGTTCGCTCTCGACATGTAGGAACATAATAGGCTGTATATAGTGAGAATATAATGAGCGAATTTTAAGTGAGGAAATGGTGCATTATGTTATTATGTTCAATCAAGGAACATAACATAAATCCATTTTTTCCAGATTTCCGAAGTGGAAATTGAAACGTCAATAAACGTATTTTTATCTTTAATTGTGGCTTATATATATATATATATATATATATATATATATATATATATATATATATATATATATATATAGCGAGTGTTTGCAACTTTAATTTTGTCGCTTCTCGCATCCCAATCGCCATAATTTCTTATCGGCCCAGTCTCCTTCTTGAAGACCTCTATTTTCCATTTCTATATGAATATTGGATATCCATTTCTTTCTTGGCCTTCCCCTTTTATTTCTCTGTGTAGGTGTCTTCAGTTCCAAACCTTTCGTGGTATCCTTTCTTCGTTCATCCGTCTCAGGTGTCCATACCATTTTAATTGTTTTTCGGCTATCGTATCCATTATTGTGTTCTTTACTTTCATTCTCTCTCTTATGTTTTTATTTCTTATGTGGTCAAACAAAGTTAACCCGGAACATCTTCTCCAGTACATCATTTCCGTTGAGAGGAGTTTTTGTGACATATTCTTGTTAAAGACCCACACTTCTGACCCATACGTCAGCACCGGCTGAATCATAGCCTGATATATATTTTTCTTTGTTTTCTTAGTTAAAGTTTTATTCCACAGGATCGGATGTAGTGTTTTTATCATGTTTTTTCCTTTTCCTATTTTTCTTGTTATATCTTTGTCGTCTTTCCCGTCTTCGCTTAGTGTAACTCCGAGATATTCGTACTGATCAACGTTTTTAATTAATCCGCTTTCTGTTTCCATGTCTTGACCGATGCCTCCTATATTCAGGTATTGTGTCTTTTCGGTATTAACCTCTAATCCCCATTTTTTGAATTCGTCTATTAGTTTGTTTATCATGTACGTCATATCTTGTAGGTCCTCGGCAAGAACTACCTGGTCGTCTGCGAAGAGGATTGTGTATATAGGAGTGTCATTTACCCATATGCCCATTGGGCTGCATTTTCTCATCCAATATTTTAAAGCATTACCAAGATATATTTTAAATAGGGTTGGGGAGAGGCAAGAGCCCTGTTTGACACCCTTTGTTTGGGTGAAACCCTTGGAAATTTGGTTTCCAACCTTAATATAAGCTTGGTTATCTTGATATAGCTTTTTCACGGCATTTATATATACTGCATTTATACCTGCGTTTTCCAATATTGTCCATAGTCTCTGCAGTGGTACGGAGTCAAACGCTTTACGGAGATCTATAAAAGTGGCATGAAGTTCTAGTCCTCTTGCTAATCTCTTTTCCGTTAGATGTTTGAGAGTAAATACATTGTCGACACAAGATCTCCCTGGTCGGAATCCACTTTGTTCTTCGATCTCTGTGGCTTCTTTTTCTATTCTGGCTTTCAGAACTCTTTCATACAGTTTGCCAGTGGATGACGTAATGCTGATACCTCGGTAATTACTGCAGTCATTCCTGTTTCCCTTTTTGTAGATGGAGTTTATGTACGAGACTTTCCAATCTCGTGGGATACTTTCTCCTTGTAGGCACTTGTTAAACATTTTACAAAGCAATTCTAATGTTATTGCAGTGGCATGTTTGAATAACTCGATAGGTAAATTACCCGGCCCAGGAGCTTTATTAGTTTTCATTTTTTGTAATGCGTTAAAACTTATATAAGTGGTATTTAAAATGTATTTATACGAATTCAGTAAATATATATTTGTACATTTCCTTTTTATTTTGTTTCCAGCTAAAACCGAGTTGGATATCGAAGAATACAGTTTCAGTCAGACGACACTAGAGCAAGTGTTCTTGAAATTCGCCCACGAAAGCGAAAATGATGAATCGTAGAAATGAATGAGAAGTAATCGTAAACATAGTGTTTATTCAATTGTGATCCTAACATAATTAGTTTAAGTGTAAAAGATATCTAAAAGACCGTCGTTTTTAAATTTTTATATTTACTATGTTCATTTGATTACTAACATACAATGGTAGTAATCGAATCTGATATTGCATTGCTTTTTTTAATACATATCTTGGTTTAGTACTTAGCTATTTGGTTGTTAGAAGTATCCATTCAGATTTTATATCGATTGAGTGTTTATTGAGATTATTTTTATTATAGTGCCCAATGTAAGCCACTTTATTTTACAAAATTAAGAGAAGTTGTATATATAGTTTTAGTAGTTGCCTGTGGAATCACTTTATTATTTATTTAAAATTAACGCAGCTACTCACGATAATGAAACACAAAGGGAAGAAAAAACGAAGAATAAATAATTTGGCAACAATGCTTTACAACTGATTTTGAATTTACAAGTTTCTTAAAAAATATTTCGTCGCTTTTTTCAAATTAATTATTTCAATACATTATATATATAAGTATTTAATTTATAGATGGATGGTGTAGTGTGACATAAGGTAGATACAGTTTTGTATATCAACTTGGTCATAGATAGTTACCAAATTCACATTTTGTAATGTACTGATTTCCGTTCTATTTAACAAACGTAGCTGAAGGTTCTTTAAGCTGGATGTACCAAATTTTAACGTTATTATTGAGTGAATTTCACTACATTTCTTTAATATATAAAAAGGACTACATTTTTATAAACATTAAAAACTTGTTACGCTAAAAATAACTTTACCCGGAATTTTTACGATAGTAATCAAAACTCAACACTCCGACTAATATTAATTAATTTTACTGAGAACTTTTAATTTCTAACGGGAGTATTCTCTTAGGAAAATTGATTTTTCCTTTCAGAGGTTCAAAAAGGAATCCATTAACCAATAAATATGCTGTATGGGTGCCAGGTATTCATTTATCAACATGTGAATACCTCCAGGTATAAATAAGCACTTAATATTAAGACACAAAAAAAGTATATTTATGGTTCATGAATCATCCTTCAACAAAATACATCCTGGAGTAAACTAAATGTTGTGTGGCAAAAATAAAACCAACCTTAAGAAACTGTATGGTTTATTGATAAAAATCTAATGTAATATTTTAGAATCCCTGAAGCGAAAATAAAATTTCAACATGAATTAATTACAAGATTGAACATATTGAACCCTTGACCAATGAAAAGAATCAGGCAAAAAATTATCAAATAATTTCTTGCCTGATCACTTGATAACCAAATTCGTAAAAAAGTACTATTTACTTAATAAATTATTGATACCAAACTCCTATTATATTATTAAACAAACGAAATTTTTAATTTAATTAAACCAGCAGACTCAAATTATTACATTTATGTTGTACCTAACTTAATTAAACATTGCCATTAAACAAAAATAATTTAAAAAGAAAACTTACAAACGCCGTAGTTGGTTTAGTTCTTCGTTTTTAATATATTATATATTCTACACCGGGTTTAATAGGTACTAGTCTACTAAAGAAAATCAAACATTTTGGAAAAGTTGCAATTTATTTTTGAATATAGTCTGCGTTTAGCTCAAAACACTTGATCCAGCGATGCTCCTACCCTTCTGAAAAATATGTTTTCTCGAGGTCTGCGAAGTGTGCCTCTGTGGCGGCGATGACCGCATCATTCGACTTCTATTTCTGTCCGGCGAGTGACTTTTTCAAGCTTGGAAACCAAAAAAAGTTGCACAGGGACAAATCCGGACAATACGCTGAATGGGACAGAAGTTCCTAGACCAATTCTATCAATTTAGCTTTGGTAACAGCGGATGTGTGAGCCGCTGTATTGTCATTGTGGAAGGGCACTTTTTTCTTCGCCAAATGGGGCCGTTTTTTCTGAAATTAGGCGACAAATCGGTCTGATAATTCGGTATACTAAAACACTGTTACCGTTTTGTTCTTCTCCAGGTAGTCGATAGACCGCACCTTGCGAATCCCAGAAAATGGTGGACAAAATATTACTAAAGATAAAAAAGTCTTCACCTTTTTCGCATCACGTTCGCCGGCTTTTTAGTCCATTGCTTCGACTGCTTCTTGGTCTTTGATATGTACCGGTGGATCCACGTTTTGTCGACGGTCACGTAAAGACGCAGATTCTCCTTCAAATTGCGCTTAAATAGTGTCAAGCACTGTCCTGAAGTGGTCTCAGGGTTACGCTTGTTGTTCGGAGTAAGCAAACACGTCACCCATCTCGACGGCAGCTTTCTTATACCCAAAATTTTATGCAGGATATGATCCACGTAATCTCATTCAACCAATTTTTGACGGTTGCCGTCGAAAGAGAAGTCATCAAATCTATGGGTCCGATTTGACTGAAATTTTGAAATTAGCTACCCACCAGAATGTGGTACACCATAATAGATTTCTCTTGCGATAGTGGCGCCATTGGGCAGTAAGGCTCAGTACTTATCGGATCGTCGTCATTTTCCTTTTTAAAGATACTCATTAGGCAAAACGCCGATTTTTATATCCCGGATAACAATTTTAGGGTCTGTTTCTGACAGCTGATCTCATTTGATTAAAAAATTAGAAATGAAAAGTTAAAATACTGAACTAATGTGTTATTCCACTAAACTCAAAATAAAACTATCATGTTACTTATATATATATATATATATATATATATATATATATATATATATATATTATATATATATATATATATATATACAAATATATCAATTTTGAAAGATCCGCCTACTACCAGATGTACTAGCTGTTTTTACAAATAATTTTGAAACAGATTTTTTACTTTGAATTGCGAAGTTTTTCAAAAATAATTTTTTTGCGAATAATCAATAAATGTAAGTTTTTAAAGAAAGTCGAAAGTTGTTTTATTTTTTTACATTTATTATCTTTATCTTTATATGGTTTAACATAGAAAAATAAAAAAGTTGGATCAGAAAGTGCTTTAGTAAAAGTAAACGGCATGTAAAGACATGTGACAATTTCAGCTTACTTAGAAGCCCAAAGGCAAAATTTTGGACACTTTTAGTATAAATATATAATTTATTTCAACATAAACATACTCGGGTATTGCCATTTTATGAACCACACAAATCGACTTTTTGAACCTTAGACATTATACAATAATATTATTATGAAGGCATTTATTAATTTTAGGCATGAGTATCTATTTATTTCAACTTCCATTGATATTCTTTGTTATTCTAAACAAGGAAAACGCAGCATATTTGATTGTTGTTGATGTTTTTATGTAGAAACTAGGTTTGTTTGTAAGATTCGGTTCGAACTACATCTTTTGTTAATTTTTTGAAATATTATTTTTATATGATAACCTAATCATCTGAATGGATACACAAAATATTAATTTGTAGTAAATGTTCCTTAATTAATCTTATTTAATTCTTTATTTTTTTTACTATGTGTTTATTTGTTACATAAATATTCTAAAATTATATTCATCACAATCTAATAATTTTTATTTTAAAATTTAGAATCATATTTTAAATTAGATAATGTATAGTAATAATAATTACACAAAACCAGAATACTTATGCGTTCTTCCTCTTCTTCTTCTTCAGCCTTAAGTAATCCAACTTTGGACATAGGCCTCTGCCAAATCAATCCAGCGTTTTCTATTTTGCGCCACTGGCTTTCAGTTGTGTCCTCTGATCTTCTTAATGTCATCAGCCCATCTCATTTGTGGTTTTCCTCTGCTTCTCTTTCCTAACCATAGTCTCCATAACATGGAAAGACTGATAATACAAGGAAAGGTAGAAGGCCGAAGATCACGAGGAAGATCCCCAACAAGATGGATAGATCAAATTACAGGAATATGCCAAAGACCTCTGCATGAATTAAAAGAAATGACCAGAGACAGAGATCTCTGGAGACGGACAATACACTCCCCCTGGGGGGTTAGGATTGAAGAGAGTCTCCATTGCTGTATTTTGTGGTTATATCTTTTATCCTTCAGTCGGGCATTTTGTCCTGCGAAGCTCCATTTTAATTTAGCAGCATGCTCTCTTGCGTCTTTTACTTTGGTTTGGTTCTAATCCATTTGTTTGTTTTTTGTGTATAAATCTCACCCCGAGTATTGATCTTTCCTCTTCGTGTCTTTACTATTTTATACATATTAGACTTGGTGAGTGTCCACGTTTGTAAACCATACGTGAGTATAGGGAGGATACATTGATCGTAAATTCTGGTATTCAAATATTGTTCTATTTTAGTACTTTTCAAGATCCAGTTTTCCAAATCCTGCCCGCGCTAACCTTATTCTTCTGGTAATTTCGGCCGTTTGGTTTTCTTTGTTAACTTTCATTATCTGTCCCAGGTAGATGTATTCGCTTACTGTTTCTAAATTTATGTCGTTTAACGTTATTTCTCTAACATTCGGTGTATGTATCATTATATTTGTTTTTTCCAAGTTCATCTTCACACCTACATTTTCCGAAACTTGAAATAGTTGCGTCGTCATCATGGTCTGTAGTTCTTCCAAACCTGTAGCGAATATTACAATGTCATCAGCGTATCTCAAATGTCTCAGTTTTCTTCCAATAACATTTATTCCTTTTTTTATGGTCGAGAACATTCCAATAGGACAACAACTGAATATCTAGTAGTAAAGTTGCCTATCAGATACAATTCTTTAAAAATAATTAATTGAATGAATACATATGCGCATATGTATATGGCTTTGCTGTGAATACAATTGTTCAAACAAGATCTAGAGTGAAAGACACAGAAAGACAAAAATACGAAGAGCGTGATGAAGGCAGATTGGGAATAATAAACATGAATTAAAAGGTACGGCATGATTTTAAAAATAATACATCGTTTTAAACTATTTGAAAAGAGGGACATTCAGATTTTTTAAATGCACCGAATATTTATCGATTTCTCCTAAAATCTATCTGTGTAATTTAAGGGAGGGGGTGGAATATACCAAATAGATACATTGGTAAAATGTACAGAAAAATAGTCCTACCTATCTCACACACATTGCTTATTCTGGTAAATGATATGTTAATTTGTTTGTTTATTATCTCGAGAGCTGATCACTAACAAGATTAAAAGATAAACCATAGTGAAGAGATCTTCAATAAAGTGCATACCAGACGAACCAACGAACCATTTCTGTTTTACATTCCTGCTTTAACACATAGTGCAATTTTAGTTAAGGAATATTTACCAGCGTTAACATATTTCTGATATTTTCTTATGATTTGTACTAGTCAGTTTGTGATACAATGCTTTTATTTGTAATTTGATATTTTGTGAGATTGTTATTTAAAGCCTAATTTGTTTTTTGCTTGTTGTATAGAGATTTTTAGTCATTACTCAGATATTTAATATAACCCTTAAGGTAATACTTTATGCATTTGTTTGAGACTATAAGTTGTAAATAAATTATTACCGTTGTTAAATATTTAATTTAATAATAAAAATATGTAAATATATTTTAATTATGTTTATTTAAATTTATGAAGTTTGTTAAACAAATACATTTTTTAGCGTATAGATCCATTGGAAAGCGATTATGATATTCGATTATGTCATCAATACATTATTTGATATCTTTCAATCCAAGTTTGGAATATTCTAGGGTGATTTTTATTTAAAAAAGGATTGTCGTGGATTTTCTTCGTATAAAAGCCAAAATTTTCTGATCATAAACTTTGAACGTCTCTTTCCTAACTTCTTCCAGACATTATCGCCGATTTGATCAATTAAGACTTAAATTTCTTTCGTGGAAATATGAATTTCCGTAGTTTGGAAAGTAAACTTCTACTTGTCTATGTAGCCATCATTATTTTGAGCTATGCGGATCAAGTTTTAGGTAATCAACAAGTAATTGTTGAACAATTTAAGCAATCCTTTACTCCTATTTCATGTATACGTTCATTGTTCTAGTCTGTAATAACCTTATTTAATTTATCGCCATTTTTTAATTCTTTAGTTTAATTGAGTATTACAAATATAATGCGGTGTATGTATGATATATCTGATATATTTGACTAAAAATCCTTTATTATATTTATTACTCACACTAATTTTCGCCGTTACTTTACTGCTAATTAATTTTAAGGCCTAAATCTTGATTGTTTAGTGTGAATAATTTTTACAAAGACAAAATAGTGCCTCAATTATTACTGTACATAACTGCTTGCATTGTATACATTCTTTTGCAAAACTAGGTACTTGATATAATATCGTACTTAAAACAACTTGTTACAATAAATCTTAAAATACTATACACTCTGTAACAGAGGAAAATATAGATTTGAAAATAAAGATTACCTTTCTTGACCATATGGTGTAATTCATTATCTACTTCCTAACCTAACCTAAAAGTATATTGTTAAAGAATATATAAAATTAAAAATAACAACTATACTATTTATCCAAGTAGGTAGCTACGTATATCCTTATTTACACATTTCCTAATTTTTTCCAGTTTCCAGTAAACAAAGAAATATAGTAGCTATCTAAGTACACAGGCATGTATACATCGCCTTTTTTCCATTTTCCAACGCTAATTACCGACCAATTTGAATATATGTAGGTGCATAGTTTTCAGCATATTATTAAGATCCTCTACACACCGAGCAATCAAAAAGAAACTACAAACTGATTTGTGATTCAAGTGTAATCTAGTCTGAATTTGTCTCCACTCCACACACGGAGGCTTCTCAGAGGTGACTGCAGTGACATCAGTATACATCATGGATGTATAATGTCCATTTTATACATCATGGACGTTTACGTCCATGGTATACATAGATTTTTCAAGGAAGTATCACCTGTCGACGGACCGCAATAGAAAGGTATTAAGCGAAAAAGCTGTAGATTTGATACGGGAAGCCGCTGCATTTGATCTAAATATAAATGGAAGGAAATCAAAATATATAGAGAGCACAAAATCGAATCGACATGAAAATTTGAAGGTCTGCAACCATACCTAGGAATATGCCTCCACCTTTCTTTGTATAGGCTCAATAATAAATGACAGTAACAACGTCAGTCAAGACATACAAGCACGGATTCTTAGAAGTGCTTTTGTGCATACAAAGGCTTAAGGAAAAGTAATGCCGGGTCCAGACCGAACAGACAAAACAAAAACATTCATGTTTCGCGACAAAGTGGCGACAAATCGAAAACATTTGTTGAGACATTTCTGAACAATTTTGTTTTGTTTGCAAATTTGAAAGCTTTTTCAGGTCTTGTCTCAGGTCGGTAAATATCAAAAAGTCTGTGTTTTGTCTGTGTATTTGACGACAAGTTGTCGGCGCAGTATGGACGCGTGTGCGTGGCAAAACGAGTTAAGCAGAAGGAGAAATAGAATGTATAATTTTTATCAAAATTAAGTGTATTTTTCTGTTACTTAGTCTCAACACAAATGTTCACTCAACTCCATCCAACTCCAACCCACAACATTTGTACTCAAATCCACCCAGCACTGACACACAACATTCATACTCAAATCCTCCCAGCATTGACACACGTTTATACTCAACTCCTCCCAGCATTGACACAAATTTATACTCAAATCCACCCAGCATTGAACATTTATACTCAAATCCACCCAACACGCAACATTCATACTCAAGTTCACCCAGTGCTGACCCACAAAACTATTACTTAAATCCACCAAACACCAACACAGAACCTTTATTTATTTTCACATCCACCTAGTATTGACACAGAGCTTTCTCAGTATTCAGTACATAACCACTAAGCCTGTTAATTAAAGCTTTACATACTTCAGGTATTATTACAGATATTGATTGCTTTGATAATTTTGAAAGATACATTAGGTGGTAGGAATCACCTGTTGCTAAAAATCTTAAAGTGATTG